GTGTTCAAAAGGCATTGTTCTAATACCTGAACACCCATTGAAAAGCTATTATGTACATCTGATTTTGTTGTATTGCTGATGGAATTGTTTATACATGAATTTTAACAGAAATAGCACTTACACATAAAATCATTCACTACGTGAAGTTATTCTATTTTGTACTAAAAACCTCAACCAATTCACAACAAATTATATCCTCATTATACAGTCTACACAATCTACATCATATTCCTATTTTGTTGAGATATGAGCTGAATTTTGTGGGTTTATGTAAATTGAACTTCTGTGAAGACCTGATACAAAATCCAATCAAATGCCTTCACCAAAACTGCTGACAGAAGTCTTCAACATCCATTTCTTCTCAGCTAAAAACTTACAGTACCTAACCAATATTTTTCTAGCAATGCTCAGTTTATGATTCAGAGTCATATATCATTCAAGAAAGAACACACCAGTTTGGAAACACATCAGATATTGCTGCGAGTTCCTTTGCAATTCAAATCCTGTAATATAATGACTCTGCTCACCAATCCAGAAACACAGTTCTCATCACAAAGGTAAGTTCCCAACCAGTTTCAGTTACAGTCCAGGAACCATTTTCATTGAGTAACTTGGAGGGCAGGAGAAGAGACTCCATGCAGAATGCCAAATACATCTTTATAATTTGATCACGCTCAAGACTTTTGCTACCAGGAAAATTGCTAAAACCACTTCCTGAGTGATATATTAAACTCAAACCTTAAGACAAGTTTAGGAAGCATTTTTGTATTGTTGAAAAGAGCTTTGCTCTACTGTATAAGAAGATCAGAGGATCTCTCACATGGAACATCTTGAATTTCAAAGCAGTAGATATATTTAATATCAATTTGTAAATGGTGTCAGCAGCAGGTGTTGAAAACGATGCAGGGCACAGGGTGCTGTGAATCAGACAAGCTTCTAAAAGACCAGAATAAACTTCAGAGGTTTTTGAAGAAAATAAAATGGAAAGCTAACATAGTAGCAGAAGAGAATTACCATTGACCAAATGCAAGACATTAAACAGTGGGAGGTACTAGACAAAGCATTCACATGTGGTTTTTTAATGATAGATTGACTAAAAATGCCTGATGTGGCATGCATTGACACTCCACACAGTTAATGTGTATTTGAAGAAAAAGTGGGAAGAGCAGGAAAGCAAATATGTCTTCATGGATTTACAGCAACTGCTTTGTAATACAAAATGGCAACAGCAAAAGCTTTTTTATTTGTATGATTGAGTGCATGGAAGAATGGTAATTTTGTATATATTCAAATGCTTTACTTTCAAGTAGAATATAATTTTCATCCCATCTATATCATGCTCAAAACAATGTAGCAAAAGCAGGCACCAAAAGACTAGGAATTTTGCTCAGCATATGGAAAAAGAAAGATGACTGACACTACTGAGTAGAAAACCAATAAAAGAAAGAACCAAAATACATAAGGATGTGAATTATATATCTTGTTTCCATTTCCCTTAAGGATAAACCTGACAGTTACTTTGGCACCAGCTTGTTTGCTAACATTATTTTTTCATGTCTTACCATTACTTCTATAAGCTCCCACTAAAGAATATAATAGTAGGAAAATGTTAAACAGAGCCTGGAAACAACTAAACAACAGCAAACATCTGAAAGAGTAGTGGTAACTTCCAAATGGTTTACAACAGCTAAACTGCAACACTAAACCAGAGGAATTGAAAACAATAAAAACGATGAGGAGATTGAGGGGTAGAACTAAAGGAGAATCATTGTTGCCTGTTGAAGCTCTGAATTTCTCCATAAGTTATATTAAAAAGCAAACCAAAACTGTACAGACTCAGCTGAAGTATCTATTGAGTTCATGCCACAGAACACAACCACAAAGTGCCTGCTTCTCCCTTTCTTTCCCATTTTAAAATTAACAGAATCTAGGATCAAGAAACTCAAGATATCAGAACAGCACAGAAATTACAAAGGTAAACAAGAAAATCTTGGGCCAAGCCTCATCACTTTTTTTATAGTTCTGAAAAATCTTCTGGAACGTAAATTATAAGGTACAGTAAAACCCACTGGAGACTGGCAGGAGATCTGTTAGTTTTTTGTGCAAAAGTCTGTCCAGACAATGAACAGAAGGCACCAGCTTTTGACACAGACTGCAGGATTCTTCATGGGTGTCTCTGGGAGCTTGTGCTTTCTGACAAGGACACTGATGGCTGGGGAAGATGCTTTACAAACACTTAAAAAGTTTGCAGAAGCAATAACTGAGGTGCTTGAAGAGATCACTGGTATAGTAAATTTATCAGAAATTCGACATTTTTTCCAACAATTCTTCTGACAAATTTCAGATCACACTATTCATCCCTTAAAACCACCGAGGTTTGCTCCACCATTTCCTTGATTTAACTCTTTAGTCCAACAAAGATTCTGATGATCAACAACTGACCTGGTGACAAACTTTACAAAGGGAGTCTTAAAATACTGAACTCTACCTTCTCTTTCTGCCCCCATGGAAACACAACCCAGCAATATGACAAGATCATACAACAAAATAAATAAAAAAAAAATATAAGCTGTCCAAAATATTGCTTTTAGCTGCGCAGACAATAAACGCAAAAGACAGAAAAATGGAAAAGACAGTAGAAGACTACAGGACTCTCTGACAGTAAGTGGAACATAAATTCTACAAAATTTGGGCACAGGCATTGTATCTGTTTTCTTTTCAGTCACTGATGAATTCAAATAGTAAAAAAAAGTTAGCTTAGTATATTCACAGAGAAGAAATATTCATTCCAATTCATGTTGTTTAGTTGTGTTTACTGTATTTGTAGACAAAAGCAGTCAAGAAAATTTAGGAAATGGAGCAAAAATGATGCAATAAACATTGCAATTACTGTGATTTACCTGCTGTAGCCTCCTATTAAACTTGTAAGCAAAGAGATCAGCAGGGGTACTAAATTTTCACACACTATCGTGTTAAATCTTACATTAGAACAAATTAGTCATTCTTCTTTATTTATACATTATTAGTTATGACCATTTATCCATTACAGATCTGTTAACTTGCTTCATATAGCAATGAATTTTCTGTTCTGATCCATTTTACATGCACAGAAGTTGATTATGAGAAATACATGTAAAGCCACCAGCACTTCAGGAAAATAAATGGCATTTACGTTGCCACAGTGTTTTCTACAATACAAAAACATGTGGGACAGATGAACACAGAAACTTTTCATGTTTTTCAATCAGCACATACAGTACTGTTGATAAAACTGTATTTCTTTGCACTTTTTTCCAGCAGATTTATGTATAGAATCATATTGCAATGTCATGCTGCAGTTTGGCACACCTACAGCTCCAAAACAAAGGCAAAACCCAAAAGCAAAAGTTTTGTTTACCATTTTTGAGTAGGAAGAATTGTCATTACCCATAAAAACAAAGCATCCCAAACTATGAATAGTAGAGGTACAGATATGCAAAAACTACACAGCAGAAAATTTTCCATCTCCACACCTGCAAAAGTTCAACTACTTCTGTGCAAACAATCATGAAACACTTATTTACATGATTGCTATAATCTCTTTGTTCCATATCCCAAATGGATCATCACTGTTGTAGGTTCTGTGAATCAGAGACGAAGACTTGATAACCACAGACATCTCAGTGACAGGATGAACAAACACTCTTTACATCTCCTATTAAAGACTTCCACAACAGCTCCCCAGAGTAAAGGTCATTTATTCAATCCATTTCCAGTCACAATCCAATCAATGAAAGACAATTTGTATATATTAACATTCGTGACTCCTTCTGACACCAACTTTGTTTGTGTTTATGAATGCAGGTATAAAAGTACCCCCTCTCCAAGAGACACTGACAGCAGTTGAAGTTCAATACTGGTCAAATGTGTGTACAATAAATCTAATTCAGCAATTACCACTTTACACTATGATGTAATTTACACCACGTGCATAAAAGTCTTTGGATTTTATTTAGCATAAATTTCACTAACACACCATCTATAAGTACATAGTTATTATGTAATTAATCAATCAAATAAAACACTTCATAAAAAGGCAGTTGATGAGACACCTATCCCAACTTACAGGTTTGCTTATCAACTGAACTTTTCTTTTGGAACACCCAAGATAAATATAAATAATTTTTGAACCAGAAAATAGGGGTCAACAAAGCATTTGGGGGAAATATAGAAAGCTCTAAAGTTATCTCCAGAAGAACAGAAATATTAATTCTGAGTCAGACTGGAATTTCCTACCACACTTTGTCCCAGCTACAGCAAGGGCCAAGAGCTGAAGACATGTATGAGAACTAGTCAACTTGAAGCAATATTTTTATAATATTCGGCAACCTGTAACTAGTTAATTTTTTAGGAATTTTTCCTTATGCTACTGTTCTTTTGATTTTTTTTTTGATAGGTGTTTTTGAACATTCTAAACCCTTCTAATGTGCAAATGGAGGATTAATAACAAACGGAATATTTTACTCAACATATTTAATACATGGAATATTTGCAGATATCTGAAAATCCAAATCATCAATCATTAATTCAGAACCCAAAGAAGTCTTCACAAAGCACCAGCTTATTCAACAAACTAGGGCTGTTCTGAACTAGGTAGGAAGATTTGAGCAGCAGAGGAAACAAGTCATGGATAATTCTGAGTAACAAAGATCACAAAAGAGCTCCCTCTCCTTCCAACATACTTCATGACTATGGCAAATATAAGCCATCAATCTGTTACCTTCATACTGTGTGTGTATACATATATATGCAAGACTATATTTAGAAACACATACTTGCAATACAGATTGCAAACTGTCTGTTCAAATATAAAGAACTTTTTCACAGACAATACGGTCTCACTAGTGAATGTACTGTATGTATTATTTACATGAAACCAACACAATCTTCCCTAAGTTTTTTATATTTCATTATTAAATAGCTTTGAATAATTAAAAAAAAGTGATTATCATTGGACTTACCCATGATGGTTAAAGCTGTGGCTTTTGTTAAGTCTTCTTTCATTGATTCTATTATTTCAAGATTACCACCATCCAAATTGCATCTATTTATGGTTCCATTTCCTGAACTGATCCAGTAAAGCTTGTTCTCCCCATAATCTATTGACAGACCTGTAATTAATGAATACAACTTTAACTATGGCTTGAATAGATAACACACATTTTGCGTTGAGCTGTTTTCATAATAAAAGTGTATTTACGAAATATATATATATACACAACATACAGTTATATTTTCTACTCATACTTAAAAAGAAAATTGAGAAAACAAAACTTGGTCATTTATAGTGAAAACCCCCACACTTTTAGAAAGATTTGCGCCTTGTATTTCTCCCAGCATCTACATAAATCAGTAACTGACTGATGAAAGAGAATTATCTGGTAATGAAGAATTACTTGAATAAGCTGAGGTCCTAAGCAAGGTCATTAAAAACTAGTAAATGTAAAACAGGAACCATCATTTATATTTTAAAATTATGAATACATAAAGACTTAGAAAACAATCTACTTTTTGTGATACTGAACCAAAAAAAAAAAAAATCTTTTCTCTCTCTGCATGCACAGCCCTCTGCTTAGAATGTTGAAATACCAAATTCTAACCCAAATTTTTAATAAATGTACAGTACCAATTTTCATTTTGCTTCATAGTGAAGCATAATCAGTTCTTTTGACTTAGAAGCAAGAGAACTGTAGAAATAAAAATACTTGCAAAATAACCTGCTAAATGAACAAATACAATTTTCTGGAAGTAAGAGCAAAGAACCAAGGTGATGTATTTCAGACTTCTATAATGATTTTAAAATGTTTTTAAAATATTCAAGAACTGGTAGCAGGAGATTTCCTGTAGTGAAATATTCTTGGCACAGTGACAATATATGCCATAATAATTTGCTTTGGTACCAGACCTTTCCCAGAATTCATGTTATGTATCCAGCAGCGAGTTGCCAAAAAATACTGTAATTCACTGCATAGGTCAACCTTTAGATATTGTACTGTAGTCTTCTTCCATCCTGTAAAGTGGAAAGCTATTTTGAAAACCCTGACAGGAGGGAACCAGTGCCCTGTGCTGCAGCACTTACAGCTGCCATCATGTCACTACGTCTTTACGCAGATTTGACATGACAGGCCAAAAGGTTTCAGCTTTCTGAGCCTCTGAAAAACAGCTTTCCAGTTCCTTTACAGTTAGTGACATTCTTCCCCCCCTCCCCCCCTCTGCAATTTTATCACCCAGAAGAAAACAAAACACACTCAAGAGAGGATAAGGATTCAGAGTTGTGCCTTCAGGAGAGACTGATCTCGCAGTGTCTCTGCGCACACGTTTTCATGTTTGTACAACAAGCATTGCTCAAAGCAGAAATACAACGCCACGGATCCTGGAGACAAGCAGTACTTGCAGTACATAGGTCTAGCAGAGGGAATTTTCCTGGGAATATTGATCAACTTCCCTATGGGTTAAAAGGGAATACACGCGGATGAAGTTTTCCTTACTCCCAGATGGACAGCATTTGTTATTTGCTGCAACTCCTGACAGCTCCCAGTCAGTTGCTCACTGATGTCACCCAGATAACACCTCTTTATGGAGTTGCTGTCAATACAAGCTACACAGAACCACAGAATATGCTGAGTTGGAAGGGACCCACAAGGATCATCGAGTCCAACTCTTATCCCTGCAAATGACCATCCCCAAGAATCACATCATGTGCCTGAGAGCATTGTCCAAATGCTTCTGGAACTCTGTCAGGCTTGCTGCTTACTCAGGATTACGTGCAGAGTATCTTCAGGAAAGGAGACTCCATCACCTCTCTGGGCAGCCTGTTCCAATGCTCAGTCACCCACATAGTAAAGTCCTTCCTCATTATTAGGTGGAATGTTCAGTGTCTATTTTCTGCCCATCCTGTTGCACCCCAGGAATTACCATCCTATCTTGTCAGGTTTTACTTCAGATATTAAACTGGTGTGTCTCCACATGGGTATTGCAATTACACAGAAGTAAATCACAAAACAAGAACATTCCTAACTCCTTCTTACCAAGTCTATCACATTATTCTTCCCAAAACGCTTTCCATCTATTACCAAACCTTGTTATTTCTAATGTAGGTAAAGCACATTTAGATTATTTTCAGGAATTGTCCTGGTTTTGCTACTGAAAACAGGTGACTTTTTAGCCATAAGCATCACAGATACTCAAGGTGAATTCTACTGTGGGTGACTGGCTTAAACCTTATGACTCAGCTGCTAAAGTCCACCTGAACATAAGGACTGTGCAATATTGGTCTCAGGGAATTCCAGTGACCAAATGACCTGCCCAAGAAAGTATGAAATTAGCATTAATTCTGAATTCCTAAGAATACAGTTTAATAGAACTCCAGTTGCTTTGTCAACCAATACATTTGTGTTGTTAACATTTGAGCCTTTTAGAGCTGCAGAATGGACCAGCAAGTCATATCTAGTATGTACTAGTTAAGATAAAAATAAAAGATACCATCTGTCATCCTAAGAGTACCAGTTCCAAAATTTTCCAAACTACACACACTCTTGCTGATAACACAAAATGCTGTAATTGAAAAATCATCTCCTCTTTTGATAGAACTCAAACAGAAAAAATTAATCAGTTTACTTCAGGTCACAGACAGGAAAACTCTTCCTCATTTTCCAAATTCCAAATTATGTACCAAGACAACAAAATCCCCATCAATTATCAGGACACCCAACTCTAATAAGCCAGATCTTTTTCATCTACCTTCTGAGCTCCCAAAACATTCAGAATTAGCACTTTATGAACTAGAATTTCATTTATGGAGAAAGACAGTTTGTCATTTAAAAATTAAATATTAAATTAAGGTTTTAAGACTGCTGCTCTCTGGCTCTTCAGCAGTGTTTTCTTGTTCTTAGCATGGAAATGTCTTATACTAATGGTAAGGATAATTTAAACCACTGAAACAGGTATTTTACATATATTCAAATATAGAGTTTGATATTGGACACTTAATACTTATTCGACCTATAGTATAACTGATCATTTCTCATCAGACATGCAACTGAATTTATTTTCATGTCCGTCCTAACTGACAAAAAAACTGAGCCAAGATGGTACCAATTAAAAAGTTTTCCAGCAAGAGACAGGTACAAGCTTTGTTTTCCCTTTACATACATAGACACACATACACTCTTTAGAAACTACATATTCTACACTTCACATATATATCATATCTCATGTCAATGCAATAAGAACCTTCAACTTAGAATATGATCTATTTAAAATATTTATCATCAGATCTCAGAAGTGTTAAAAATTAATCCAATGCTACAGAAAGAAAAGAAGTTTTTTCCCTTGTCCAAATATGGATTTGAACAAACATTCTTTGTATTTGGTTCAGTCACTTCACTGCCATTCAACAAACCCAATGAGAGAAACCATAAGGATTGCAATTTAGGACCTTGTGACCTGTGATCACAGAACATTCAGTGCAAAATGTTGCATATTCCCCATACTTCTTAATATTGTCCCAATATTATTTAATGTGCTTATGCTTCACCCTAAAATTTGTGAGTTTACTACTCTTTTTTCTCCAGATAAAAAGGTAAATGTCTCTTCAAGTGGATAGACAGCAAATCAAAATAACAGTAAAACAGTCATCAAGTAATTTCTACAAAATTCATAGAATTTAGGGTCTTAAAAGCATGTTGTGTTGCTCTTATGTCAAATTTATTGAATTCTTTAAAACATTTTCTCTTCTGCTTGCTTTATGTATTCAGTTATGAAAAAATAAATGCTTTAAAATATAATCTCTTTATTGATGGGTCATTAATAAGTCATCAACAATTGACATAACCACTTTAGCTCTCTAAAAAATGAAATTATCTAAAGTAAGAGATCTGAACAAAAAAAAAGTACACATAGAGAGAGTTTGGTTTTTTTCCAAACAATGCCATCATTTATCATCAACTGTATGAATTATCAAATACTAAAATTGTGGCTAAATTGTTATAGGAAAAGTCTACTTTAACTGCTGCTTTTTTCTTTGTGTGAAAAGTTAAGAGCCAATTTATCTTTTGATCATGCAACTGAGATTCTGGTGAGGAAGGATCTACATTTGCAGTCAAAGTACCCTCTCACATATATCCACAACTTATTAAAAACCTCTGATCTCTACTTTTTTTTTGACCATGATATAAAGATTGAGAAATACAGATGGGTTCTCTTTAAGTCCACTGTAATCCTGAGAGTTAATAATAATCCACTACTAGTACAGTAGATTTCAGTTAGAATGGGCCAAAAATATCTGAAATTGTGAAACACAAAATCATGTGAGTGTTCTTCATGGTTTTATGCCTGTTCTTGTCACTGTTACACATTAAATGAAAAACATCACGGTACACTTAAATAGCAGTTCAAGATAATGCCCACAGTAAATCACTCAAATAAAAAGAAACAGGAAAATAGGTATTTACCAACAGGATCTTTTTGATTCTGGAAGAGTATTTTGCTGTTGCTGCCGTCCATGTTTGCCATGTTAATTGTGTTACCGTCGGTCCAGTAGAGTTTACTGAAGAAGAAAATTAACATATTTAAAATGTTGCTTTGTGTACACAGTATTTTTAATGCATCATTAGAGAAAACATTCATCAGTTTAGGAGGAGGCAAAATGTATAACCAGTGATTACATGATTTAATCAACAGCTTTGGTAAGAAATCAGCATTCAGGTAAGAAATTTTCAGCAAAAATCTTTCAAGTGTACGCTTTTACTTTAAGTTTGAAAGAAAACAGAATGGGCAAAATCAAAACATGAATGAATAAGAATCTTCTGACTAGTTTTACTGTAGTTTATTTATTAAAACCGCAGATACCTTACCCTTTTACTGGGTGAACTGCAAGACACTGAGGTTTATCGATTCCATGGATGATTGAGGTTTTCAAGGAACCATCTAAATGTGCCACGTTAATTTGTGTTTCATCAAATTCCGAGCTAATCCAATATAAATTGCGTGATATCCAATCCACTGCAAGACCTCTGATACTCTGAATATCTGCAAAAAGGGAAAGCAGTTGTTATTTTTATTTTCTTTTTGGATTATTTTCAGTCTTATTTTTCAGGGGAAAAAGAAAGAATATTTTCTTCTAGAGTTTGTTAACAATACTGTGCAGTATTCTCTTCAGATGTATTTATTCATTAGTTGCCAAGAATTAACAACCTTTATTTTTCTTCTTGGGCCTGATACACATGAAATAAAAACATGAACATGAAAATCACACTGAATATTCATAGCATAAAATCTGTTGTCCAAATATAATAATCAGACAGATGCTGAACTTTTGCATTGTATTTTTCTACTTAAAAAAGCATTTATTACTCGGTGGTTTTCTAAAACAATGTTATGTTGAAGTTTAAAAATTTAATTCCTTCATCAGCACCAGGAAGGCTCAGTACAGAAGATCTGAACTAAAACCACTGGCCTAGAGAACAGTTCTATGGCACAGAAGTAGCTACATCACTGAAGTAGTTTTCTGGGTTTATTTCTGAAGTCCCTGAAGATTCCAAGTTACTCTTCTGCTTTCTTGACTACAGTTAAACATCTGTCAGGCAATGGGAAGACAAGTGAATTCTTCATTTTGCTTTGCTTGTGCTCATAGTTTTCATTTTTCCTATTAAATTGCTTTTATCTCAACCCATGAGTTTTCTCACTTTTACCCTTCTGATTCTCTTCCTCATCCCACTTTGGGCTTTGACTGAGCAGCTGAGGCAGCAAAACATAAAATGATCAATTTGGTTGCTTCACAGTGTCTTTGTATGTGATGGTCTTCTTTAGCCAAGTATTAAAACAAATGTTAATACATGTTAATATCTGCCTTAAATACTGAGTATGAAGTCTCTGCTCAAGCTCTAGCTCAGAGCTCTAGAGCTCTGTCTCTTTGCCTTGAGACAGAGTTGGTTCATATTGATTCTCATCTTTGTAGGCAAGGAGCAGGCCAAGGGTGATTTAAAGATTTCATTATAGTTCATTGTTTATACACGTCTTTTGTCAACTTAACGTGGTAATTTCCACTGACAGAATTATTATAGTTGACAAACTAACATGGATGTGGCTGTGGACTGGTTGAATGGACATAAGGTTGAGTTGTGATTGGCATTAGGAAGTTTGCCAACTCCAGAGAACACCAAATACATAGTCCTTGACCCACTGAAAACTGATACCCTGCCCTTCTGGGTTTTTTGGTTGGAGAAACTAGAAAATAAGCATTTCATACTCTTAAAAAGATTAAAGTATGACTTTGGCATCTTTGTGACATTGGCATAAGACTCCATCCAATGAGAATCCCACTTGTATGTGCTTACAAAGCTTCTTATGTTCTTATAAGAAGTATAAAAATATAACTGTAAGCAAATGAGATAGTTTACACATAATAAATAGTATTTACAATATTTTGACGTGCCAGAAAATTGTAATTTTGCAAACTTTTATATAATAAGTTACATCTGGAACAAAAAAACCTACAAAAATTCCACCACAGAAGCTATCAAAATAAAAGGAATATGAAAGAATGCTGATAGACAAACACACATCATATGTTTCATTAAGTTCCTTGATGAGTTTTGTGACTTTTTACTATATATTTTCTATAATAAACAATGTTTTTATTTTACTACAATTTAAAAAAGCAAGCAACAAGTCTCTCTGTTGGGTACTGGAACACTTGATGTAAAGAGCTCTAGAAGGCACTGTAAACCTTGTTCTCATTATTGGGACTGAAAACATGTCTAATTGTTAATAAAGTTGTCTCTGAGACAGCAGGGTAAAAAAAAAAGTTAGCCACACAAAATAAATGAATTCATCAATCTGCATAGCCAAATGGGGATATTGCCATATTGGTCCAATCATTTCCCAAAATGTGCTAATACAGAACTAATTTCTTCTAAAGTGACACAAGGGGCAGAGCTTTAATTAACTTTCCAAAGTCCCCCAGATAATAACCTATTTGATTTATTTGTTCACAAAATCAGAAAAGGTCTGATCTTGCACAATTGAGTTATTCCTTTTCTCCTCTTCCCCTTCAAACATACATTTAACAACTGGGGAACCAGAATGAGTAAAATTTCCCTTCAGATAGAATGAACAATCAAACACTACCAAGGACAATGTATTGTATTAATTTAATACCAGAGCTACTGACACAGGGTTGAAGCAATCGGGTGTAGACTTTATATTTCATTAAATTTCTGTACTTCTGAACATATTCTGTACAGAAAAAAAATCTGTATCACCAGTATCACCAAAATTACAATGCTACCATATTGTGTGTTTCACCAATGGTGCCAAAGTTGAAAGATCTACATGGACTGGAAAGGAAAAACAGCTCTGACAGAGCTAATTTCTTTGCTAGGTCAGCACAGGTAGCCAAAGGACATAGAAAATCCATAGGACATAGGAAATACTTCAGTGAAAAGCTATGAAAGGACATTATGCTTCTCCTGCTTTTTATCTTTATTCTACCTTCTCCTGAAAATATTATTTCCCCTTTTTACTACACATTTCAATCTTGTATAAAATCAATGTTAAAATTACATCCCAATTTGTTTACATAAAATTGAATTATGAATCAATAAAATGAACTAGAATCCTAAAGAAAATAATTCTGCTTGCTTATTGTTTAGATCAATTATCCAATACCAGTGCAAGGTACACCGATTGAGAACTTGCATGCCCGTATTTTAGCATGCTTACAACTCACATTTACCTAGAATTAATTATTTTTACTTCATGCTATGCCATTTACCTCTTGAAATAATGGTTTCTAAGCCAGTCCCATTGATGAAGGCACGTTTGATGGTCTGTGTTTTCACATCAGTCCAGTATAAGCGTTCCTCAACAGCATCGAAATCTATGACTGTCACATCATCAATGTCAGGAACAGTGAAGGCTGTGATAAAGTTGAAATATGGGTTTTCTATGTCCACCCCTCTTATTTCTGAACGCCTTGCATAGAGGAGAAATTTCTTTCTTTCTGTTGGAAAAAAAGAAAACATTATTCCTCATCCTCTTTACATCTCTTAACAGGAATCCGAGTCACTTGTTTGAGATCGCTTTACAAATGTGTAAATAGTGTTTATATGAGTGATTAAACATCTCCAGAAAATCTGCAGCCTAGTGACACTTGAGAAATAATGTGTAAAGAGCATAAAAATCACAGGAAAAATACAATAATTCTGGAAGCTGGACGTGGTGTTACCAACTCTGTTAAATGAATCTTATGAATGTGTAAGAAAAAAATGCTGAAACGTTTTTTATAAAAAGTTTGCCCTGCCCAGTTCACTCAAAAAAATAGTTTTACCTGCACATCAGATCAGACACTAACATTTGGTATCTCAGGGGAACAGGGATTCAGTGTAACAGGGAAGTTTTGCAAACGATGAATGTGTGTGGAAGCAGTAGAAGGCAAACACTCGGAACAAAAACGGCAAATTGATTCTCCTAATTTACACCCTCACTAAAGAAAAAGGATGAAACATTAAAGGCAAAACAAAGTTCTCTTTTTAATCTCAAAATTCTAAGTTATTGGAGCAAATGTCTGTGAAGGAACAGTAAAAGTAACTTTTTTTTCCCCTGCAATATCCTTGAAACAACAACGTATTATTTTTTTATTTCCTAAACGTTATTAATCAACACTGAAAAGAGTAATTTAGTACAAGGTTTTACAGATAATACACACAATTATTTGACATTTTGAGGGCTTTTATAGCTTAAAAGTATCTATTGTAATTGTTTTTTTTTAACTCCCCTGCAAGGCTGCACATCTAACATTTACTCTTTGTTTTTTAATCCTTGAAAATGAAACCAAGGCAACTCTAGAACAGGTAGAGATTTAAGCTATTAAGCATCTTTTTGTTATTCAGTTTACCTGACTCATAATTTTCGGATGACGCACATGAGAGTACAAAGCTTTCTGGTTTGCAGAGATAAGTTTTACCAACATATCACACACATAAGCAGCACAAAGAAATGGCTGCGGTAACAAATATCAAAGCACCACAGACCTCAATTATGAGAGTAAGTTATTGATTCTCAAAAAAGTAGATGCCCCTTTGAAACATACCATTAAAAAGCACTGCAGAGATTGTGTTTAAAATTAATTTGTCCAGTCCAAAATTCTAAAAATCAATACAATCGTCAGGCTTTGGGGGGAAAACTTACCATAACATGTTTTCTTGTCTAAAGACAGTTTCATCAGGTGTGGACAGGCACAGGCAGCACTTCTGTTGTGATTGATCAGACACATGTGAGAACATGGACCTCTGCCCTCATTAGCAGCACACGGATTGGAAGCTAAAATTGAATAATGAAATACAAAAAGTAAAAACACCTTTTCAAATTAAGGTTTGTCACACTGGTATACACTACACTGGTGAAAAATTGGTAAATATTCTATTGAAAGACAAACCCAACCTCAGTGATAAACTGGGCTTGTGCTCTAATCACTTTTTCTAGGTTAATATTCAACTCTTGTCCAAGAACATATATTTTAATCTTTTTTGTTGTTGTTGTTGTTGTTAATACAGTCACAAAATTTATCATTGTAACCTCATGAAGACACTGGAAAAAATTTTCCCAGGGAGATATTAATTTTGCAGCCTATTCAAGAGATTTAAATGTATAGAATTTTACAATCCTAACAAGGACACATGGGATTAAGAAAATGTTAACATGATAAGGACCTGAAAAATTATTTAATTTTGTGAAAGCTTAGTCAAAGCTTAGATTATGATATGAACTTTGGCAAAATCAATGTTTCCTCTCAATTTGATCTCTCTTGTAGAATATTAGATTGAAATCTAACATGTAAAGATAACTTGAAAAAAAGACATAGCAAAGTATTTCTACTTTTCTTTAAGAAAAGCCCTTCTTAAGTGTAGCTTTCCACAAGTAGTTTACTATAGTTCACTGACTGAATGAAGTGTGCTAAAATTGCTTTAAAGAGAAGAAAGCTGACTGGAGAAGACCTGTTAGTCTTACAAAACCTGGAAATCATCCTTATTATCTTTATTACTTACTATAAACACACAGTTCCAGAGCACTGCTGAAGAGACATTTCAGGCATAAACAGAAAGCAATGTTGATTTTTCCTTTTACTAAAAAAAAGCTTTGAAAATTGACATTGATGGAAAGTGGGAATGACCGACTCATAAAGACAAATTTATAATTATCAAAACCAATTAGTTTAGAATATATTCCTCCAGCACTGTGCTAGCCTGCAATACAAATAATTAGACAACTAGAGAAATCTGATGTATGAATTTCTTTGCAAAAAAAAATTTAGTTCAAGCACTAAAATTTGAAGACAAAAATCAAAGTTTGCTTCATGGAACCATTTTTTTCCCCTCAGCGCTTCCTTAAATTTATCCACCAACTTCTGGAGCTTTTAACTACTTACTTGTCTAACCAGTACTACAGGAAGGATGAAGCTTTCAAAACCCTTGTTAAACAGGTTAATGAAATTCTTTCCATCATGATTCTATCAAAAAAAAAATAAAAAAATCACAGGGCTTCACTGTTTTCTGTAAAGTCACTCCATTTGCCCCTTTTAAGCACTGGCAGCACAGGAGGCCACTCAGCACTCTCCCAGCCTTTAGTTTACCCTGCTATTCCAGAAGTTTATTGAAAGCAGCATCCCATATCCTGTCGGTCAGGTCTCCTAAACCTCTGACAAAACATCATCTGGGCCAACAAGCCTAAAACTATTTATTGCTGCTTAATGATTTAATATCTTTGACAGTTAATAGACTGTAAATACCTCATTATCCTCATGGGATGACTGTACTTGATTCTGCCTTTCCCAAAAACTACAATACAGAGATGTTTATTTAATATCACTTTTCTTGTATCTATAGTACCAATTTTGAGAAAATGGGGGGTGATCTCTTTTAATAAGTTCACAAGTTTGTGTGGAAGACAAACATGAAGTTAAGGAAATAACACTGAAGAAGGTTCAAAGAGCGTTCACAGATAATAATTATTAATGCACTATTAGTAATATAAGTCATCTATCTCTATGAATTATACATCAGAAAGGAAACATAACTCAGAGTTCTGACAATACTGTGAATGAGATCATAGAATCATTTAGGTTGTAAGGGACCTAAGAAAACCATCTAGTGATTCAACCTCCTGCAATTTTTTGACATTTTTAACATTGCTACTGCAAGATTTAAAATTTAGTCATATGTTTTGTAAAACAGAATTTCTTTTAATTTATTTGCCAACACCACAAAACAGTGTTTCCTGTGGAACCTCAGCTTCTCTATATGCATATAAACATCTGTGACAATGATTTATTTAGGGCCTAAAAATAATAAATATAACTTGTCTTTCAGTGCAAGTAGTGCATTTTGTTCTTCTCCACTGAAATTGTGGTTCCAGTCTGCTCGAAGTATCCACAAAGAGGAGTCAGTACAATTCATGTACTGTCTGTTCACATCACAATTCCCATCACAATTCCCTTCATATAGCATGGAATACAAAGTTGGTGGAAAAAGAAATGTTCTAAAGCAGATGTGTTTGTTTCCACATGAGTGAGCAACTCTGGGAGCAAACTATCATAATCTAAAAATTACTTCTAACAGCACATATTTACATATTCCTTTCATATTCATACTGCTTTCACTGAATAACAGCTAAGCCCATTCTCTATTTTCTAATAAAAACTAATTCTCCCGAAGGCACATAGATATGTTATTGCTTTGACTCTCAAAAATTTGGCTTTTATTTCCTTGTGCTGATTCTAATATTTTCTTCTATTTCTATTGTGAATAACCACATAACCATTCCTTATTCACCTTTTCCATGCCATTTATGATTTCACAGACTGCCATCATACAGAAGCCTGTCTATAAGTTGTATTTCAAGCAGTATCAGCCTACCTGTTCTCAGACCAAAACCTTTCCCATACTCTTGATCAGCCTGTCAAGTTTTCTCAATAGCTTTTATATGATCTGTATACAGTATTCAAGATATGGGAGTAATATGGATTTATACAGCACTACAGTTCACTGTCTATACTTCTTTATTCCCTTCCTAATCATTTCCAGCAATATATTCCCTTTGATCATAGTAATCCACAGAACTGGTATTTTCACCAATATGCCAGCCTTTTGCATTATTTAATTGATTTCCACTGCTGATTGCTTGTCAATCTATTTCTCTTACAGTGCTGAGCACAGACATGCATATATCACTCTGTCATCATGTTACTTCTTGACTGCTCTCCAAAACAAAACATTTATTTTTCTTGACCAGTAACCCTTAAAAAACCCCTCAGACATCCCATCACCAGCTGACAAATGAACAGTTACTCTGACAACCTCTCAATATGCTCATTCACTGTGGACCAACTTACCCTCCCCATTAACTTCATATTGAACCTGTCCCTTCATAGCATCAGATTAGCGAGACATAGTTTGATCTTATACTTTAATAGTGCAAACATGATTAAATTCTGCCCACACCTTCAAATATATTCACTACAGTTACATCAAAAGGGTCCTTTTAAATTGCTGACAATCAATTCCCACTCATATTTAAAACCAGCTATAGATCTAATCCTCTGCTCACTTTCAACAATTTTAGCATTGCTTTTCATAAGGCCAAACATCCTCCTGCTGCAGTCAGCCAAGTTAAAATCTTTATACCACCTGATTACATCTGATTATTTTAGCACTGATCTGGGGAATTCACAGGTTAGGACAGAGCAGATAACATGTGTTCTAAAATAAACAATTATTTCCTCTAATCACTATTTCTATTCCAGTTTGTAATCATTCCCTTCAAGAATTAGTTAACACACTACCTAACAAAAATCTACGTATCACCATGAAGCTAAATGAACAAGAACACTATTAGGGCAAAGTTAGCACAATTCTTCATGATATGCCATTGTACTGAGGATGATAACGTTATGGTAATTCTGAAGCTCTTTTTATCAACTATTGGGGTCAAAACAAGCAAGATGAGCTCCTCCATCACACAGTGAACAGTTACACACTTGAACCATCTGCCCCAAAAGTTGCAGACAATATGTCAGCTAGAAGAAGAAGAATAAGTCAAAGCCTTTAAAGAACAAAAAGACCATTTTAGGTTGAAAATTAACATTGAGTTACAGGCTACTGGAAGCCTATATGGGAGAAGAATGGCTGCTGTCTTTCCCCAGGTCCACACCTGCCTTTAGGCCCTGATCAGCCACTGTCAAAGACAGGACGCTGAGTTAAGACAATGGGAGGAGATATTGCATTTATAACTCCTAAAACAAAAATAGAACTTTCACAAGGCACTAAGGAACCCAGTTTAAAGTTCAGAAAAATTGTATGTATTTTGCATGATTTATAATATATATAGCACTTTGTTCAGGTTTTGAAGTAAAAAAGGATGTACAAGAGGCTGAGATAAAATCTTAAACTAATATTATTTTTCTTTTTAAATCTACCCATCTTAAGCTACATTTCTGTAAAAAGTTATTTATTTCAAACAGCTGGCAATCTGGGCCTCAACAGAATATTGTAACAAAGGAGTGCGATGGAGTTCAATGTTTTTCATATTTTAATTACAGAAGAGCCCAGTGGTACCAATATACTTTATATTCAACAGTTGTTATACTGTTTGTTATGATTTTTAAATAAAAATTTCATTTGCAGAAAGGAAACTAATTCCACATCCATGTTTAGTTTTTTGTTTTTTCTTTTAATTCAAAGTAATATCCTTGAGAAATGAGAAAAAAAAAGGAGGGAATGTGTGAGAAATTCACAGCTTTCTGTTTTCAAGCTCTGATCCTTCCAATGCACTATATTTACCCCTCTTATCACTATCCTTAGTACATCTCCTGGTACAACTTCTTGTGACTAAAATAGAAGACCTTGTTCTTGGCAGCAAGTGGATTTCTAATATAATGGAGCAAGTTGAAAGAAAATGTTCTTCTTAGAAACCCTGTGTTTGCTTCGTTAACAGCATTCCTGACACACAGCTTCGGCTCTGTGAAGATGAGTGGCTCTCAAGTTCATATTCCTGAGAATATTCTGCATTAGGTAAGAAGGTTTCCATAATCCCCTGTGGTTTCCTGACACATGAACTTATCATCCATACAAATATCTCACTGCAACTTCACTACCTTAAATTAGCATCTGTCCTAGATTGACTGTTGCTTGAGGCTACAGGAATTTATTTAGCTCTGCTCTACTTTATTTCAATCAAAATAACTTGCATGATATATATTGAAAGCTAATAAACTTTCACCTACATAGGTGACCCAGATGTAGATCTGTGGAGATTAAACTAAAAAATGTTCATCCTTCAGTACCATATTTATACTGACAGTTTGGAATGTAAATATACCGTTAATTTTATTTTGAGATTCTAACCTGCATGATATCTTGTTCATTTATTGAAAAATAGCTACAAATTCAAAAGAAAAGTAAGTTACAGCATAGCATCACCATTTTTCTCTAGCTCCAAAAAAGTGAGGTACTGGAGATTCAGGAAAAAACAAATTTCTTCCATTGAAAGAGAACAATTTAAGGTAAACCCAAAAGGCCAATCATAAAATCAGAATCCAGTGTTTTCTACATCATTAAAAAAAAAAAAAAAAAAAGCTGCAATTACACAACCTGATATTTGAACTTCTTTATTCTGGAAAATAACAGCTGAAAACTCTTCTACAGCTTTTACTTGCCTTGAGGCCAAGATATCTGTGCCTGTGGAATACTGACTGATGTCTCCCTAGGCTATAGACTCTCTCCAAAGACGCTGCCTGGCCCCAGTCCAAACAGAAAATAGTTGTTCTTTTTCTGACAGCAAGAAAAGGCTAATGGGAACTCCACTGTTACTCTGAAAACACCAAATATGGAACAGAGATCCTAAAATCCCAAAACTCGGGAAGTGACTAATTACAAAGAAAAAACCTAAATCCCCTCCCTGCTAAAAAAAAACCCAAAAAAACAAACAAAAAACCCCCACATAAACCAACCAACCAACTAAGACCCAAAAAACCCAAAGCAAACAAAACCACAAAAAACCCTCAAACCCAAAAAAACAAGTCCAAAAGACACATTATTTGAAAGGGGTGTGCAGAGGTGCATATTTTCACATTCTGGGCAAACATCTTCTGTCTAGAAGTCAGACAGCTTTGTTAGAGTAGTATACTGCCCTAAAAAGTAAACTCTTAAAAATTAGAGAAATAAGAGGCTTATTTCAAAAAGTAATAAAGTCCAAGGAACTTGGCATCCACTGTAAACCAGTAACACTCTTCTTTAATATACATTCATTATTATTTTAAAATAAAGCCATCAGAAAAATGCATCCTGACATTCTATGTCACCTGCTGTGAGTTAGATGAGGAGGTCACTGTGAGTCTTTATCACAGTTATCACAAGGCTTCACCAACTAGCAAATGAGTTGTATCATTGCTCTTCTTTTTTCCACATGTGCTATTAGGGAACATCCTTCAAATCTTTTGACTACTAGTGTGCAGGGAGAATTTTACTTGCTGGTACTCATTTACATTAGAGCTTTATCTATAGTTTTCTATGCATAACTCATGCAGAACTAGATTTTAAGACATTTACAAAGCCATACAAAATTGTCAGGATTTAATGCTTTCAAATCAAGACTGCTCAGAACCTACTAACATAAAAGTCTAAATGGCTTACTGAGTGCTACAAACCCTGGGTGAGAAGAAAACCAAAATACCATTTCTCAATATTAAAAAAAAAAAGGTGTATATGAGATGAATTTTAAAGCAGTTTCTATTAACATCAAATTTTTGACAGAAGAGTTGAAATTTATCCAGTGAACCTGGGAAATTCTATAACTGATTGGTGGTCATCCTCCAGTGGTCATTCTTATTTCCTACATTTATGGACAAAACAGTGACTGTTTTTGTTATATCTCACAATAAAAATATATATTCAATTCTTTTTTCAGCATATATATAAATTTTTTTATATATATATAAATATATATATATAAGCTATATATAAATATTTATGAACTCCATACAACCTTCTGCTACATGTGTTGCATGCACCTGCCTTCATCTAGTGCTGAATACAAGGCAAATTCACATACAGATAATTATATATAAAAAACATCTATTTTCCCCCTTATAGGAACAATAATAAATTATTCTACAAATAATACAGATATTTATATATAAAAAGAATATTTATTCCCCCTCTCATAGGAGCAATAATTAATTATTCCATAAAGAGTCACCTTGTGGTTGACGACTTGGATGGTAGATCTGAAGATCAAATGGCTGAGCACTTGTTTTTTGTATTACACTGACATTCTGGCCAGTCCACTTATTGGCTTTTGCCAGTGTATTGGTTCTCCAATCTGTCCAATAAACTTCACTCCCATACAAAGAAACAGCAAAAGGGTGAGAAAGATATTCGTGACCCCGTATGATCTCTATCATGCCTGTTCCATCATACAGTGCAGAATAAATGGCATCCGACCTACAAGACACCCCAAATTTAAGGTTACATAAAAATAAAATAAACATCACACAACCATGATGAAATTGGGTAAAATATATAAAAACTTAACTCTTACATACTGGTAAGACCAAAGGATGTTCACAGTGCAACCATTAATTTCAGAGATTATGTAGTTCATATTAATAATTTAACTGGAGATACAGAATACTGGCTTGCTTGTATTATGTTTAAATTTACCTCTCTGCTGTGAAAAATATAACAGGAAAATCAGTTTCAGATGAACTTACAGGAAAAAAAATAGTTAACTATCTTGGGCCTTCCATGGATAAGTGTCAGGGAGAACATGTGGGAACTGTTCTCTGGGAACAGGGAGCCAGGAGCCATGGGTGATACCAGAGCTGTCAGGGCAGAAGCTTCACCCCTGCCCCTAATGTATCTCCATGATGTAAATAACTACATTCCACTTACAATGCATTTCACATTTCTTCATGCAAGAATAAGAGTTTATAAACAGATAATAATAAAGCTGTTATCACTTTACCTGGCATCTGTCCACACTATTCTTTTTTCAAAGTGATCTACAGTAAGGCCATTAGGCCAGGCTCCAGTATCCATATCTTTATATATGATTTTTCTTTCTGCTCCGCTCATGGAAGCGGATTCAATGCGAGGAAAATTTGCATCCCAGTCCGTCCAAAACAGAATCCTTGTAAGACAAAGAGGAAAAGAAAAGAGATAGAAGAAAATATTAAAGCACTGAGAATAATCTGAAATGGTTTAATAAGACAATAGTTGGAAAAAAGCTTCAAATGTTTACATGCTTTACCCTAAAGGAAAAAACATAGATCAATTTGGGCAACTATATAAATTCCTTGAAGTAAAAGGGTAATATTTCATCATTAGTTTTAGAGCAATCATGAAATTAAGAAAGTTTTTTAAAAGCTAGGAGTTTAATTCCCTTTTTCATGTCCATTTATACAAGTAACAGCTTGTCCTTCTTCCCTCTATAATTAGAAACCCAGTCCATTAAACGAAATTATAATGAAAGCCTCTGAAAGCAATCCACAAATGAGAAGGATGGGGAGGGGAGAATGGGAAGAAAGGTGATTTGAGGTAGAAGGGATCAAAGGAACAGGCTAAACTGGAGATTTTTTTATCCATTATTAAGAGTGTTCCAATGAAGACCCCTAGATTTTGGTATGTAATCAAAAAATTGTATACAGATCAGTCCCAAGAAAATTGAAAAACTGTGTTGTATGGTTGGCTCCCTCAGTTATGTGATATTTCCAGTGTTTTTCCAATAAGGAGAGCTTTCACTTGTATTACCAAAGTAGTATCTTGTTAAAGATGAGAAGCAGTGTCACCAAAAGGCCAAAAATACACTCTAACGGTTCTTAGCTTATTGAGTTTTAAACATCACACAAACTTTTTTACTTGTCAAAGGAAAATAATACCTTTGACAGGGAAATTTCTGATTAGCTGTAAAGAGCTAATGGCAGAGTCAGACTGTAACCAAACTTGTGACAAGTTTTCCTATTTCCCACTAAAAGACCTTCAGCCTTAACAGAGAGGTTAAACATGATAAGACCACATGATTCTGCTTGTCTCAGTGCTGAGTTTCTGCCTGTGTAGACCCATGTGGACACACATGTTTATGTGTAAAAGTTTATTTCAAATATATCTGTGCATATGTAGACTGAGAATACGTGCTCGGCCTCACCGCAGGTTGGAATGGAGCTATGGAGTCACACCTTTGCTGGGACACAGGATTTGTGCAGTCCTAACACAACCCTTTGCTTTGAATCATCAGTGGTTTTTATTCACATTTATTTGTGAAAAGACTGAGGAGTTATTCCTATCTGTGTTCAAAGATTTTATTCGTTCCTTACTTTTAACATAACGTAGAATCAATTGCTTCCAGTTTTTCAAAAGGCAGATTAAGCCTTCAGTTTCAGCAAGAGCAGTGATTTGACTTTTTTTTTAGCCTTCCAACCACTTAATTTGAACAACTTCTCTGTCAATTTTTCTGCCAACAAGATGGCTCTTTTTAAAGATCTGTATAGATAAGCAATGCACTCTGTAAATAAGTTTCTACCATCTCAGTTGAGAGGGCAATAAACTTACTCATTTAAAGCACGTACACCCTAATTCACAATTTAGGTCCCAGAGAGACATCAGGTTTCAGAATATGGGACCTTTATCTATTTTTATGTTCACAGCTCTGATTCTGAAAGAAATATTCAGTGAAGACATGACAGACCCCAGTAAATCCTAAAATTAAATATTCCCAAAATTAAATATCATGACTGCAAACTCACAATTCGTATTATTTTTTGCCACATTTAATTTGTGCTTGGTGATTTGTTGGTTTTGTTGTTTAGTTGTTTATTTCTTTTTCTTCTCTGAAAGAATAATAATTATAAGAAGAGGATGTAGCTATTGACTATCACCTAATGTTCTGGTTTATAGGATATTCCTAATAAACAGGTAGAAAAAATACTGACAGAAGCTGTCAAACATTATCTCTAAAGATGGAGAACCAAATAAAAAAGGTGGAATTTACCTCACTCAACTGTTAGTCTTCCAGTAACATCTAAACTACATTTTTATAGCCATGCCAAAAAAAATCAGACACTAAGTGAGATGAATCACCTGGACAACACTTAAATCTGTCCATTAACCACACAGGAAGGTTAGACCAAAGGCTCCAGTTACTATCATTCACATAAAAAAAAAAAAAAAGAAACAACCACATGGCAAGGAAGTAATTTGCCAACAAACAGATATCTTTATCTCCTGATGTATGGTTTTTTAACCCTATTTTAACTGGGACAAGACCCACCAATAATGGATTGTTTATCAGTCAAAATATACTTTCAGAAACTACTAAAGATAAGTTAGAAACTATAACTCAGCAAAAAAGGAAATCAATCAATCTCACATTTAAACCTCTAACTTTGAAATACTTTGCAACAAGAAAAAGTAATGTTTTTATAATTACCCATATCTGGGATCCAAAGCAATAGCCCTTGGATGTTCCATAGCTCCAGCTATTAATGTTGTTCTCAGAGTGCCATCTAGTTTTGCTACTTCAATCTGGTCCAAATTGCTGTCTATCCAGTATATGTTTCCTGCAATCCAATCTACAGTAAGACCTTCAGGTGTGGCCAGGCCATGTTGTACCACAACCTCAATGGCACTAACACCTTAAAAAAAAAAAAAAAAGAGGAAGAAAAAAAAAAGAGAAAACAAAAAAGTCTTAAAGAACTAATACAGAGTCTGAATATAAAATATAGTGAACATGGACATACAAGTCTATCATATGTTCTTGGAGTGAATTCTTGATTAATCTGTATCTGATGGATGGTAACACTTTGTTCCACGTGACATTTTTCCTTTACAAATGCAACAGGATGCTGAAAATAAGTTCAATTTTGGAAGTCACACAAATAATATTCATTCCACAGTAATAAAAAATGTTAGGTCTCATACTGTAGTCAGTAAAGCCCTGAAACTTTCCATAAAGGTCAGAGACTACATGCAGAGTAACACAGAAGAGGTACAGAACTCATGCAGCTCTACTTCCCTTGTTTCTCAATCAGAAAAAGAGAAAACTGGAAGATTGTGACCAAGTCAGAAATGGCAGGGAGAACTCTGTTTGGAATACATATTTTGAGAAGCTCCACAATAAATAGCCTTACTTTATTCCTTTGAATTCACATGTACAATTCATACTGTTGCTGTCAACTAACAGCTCTTCTCTACCAAACACGTCTCCCAGAGAATCACAAAGTGTTTCACACAAATTGCAACTACAGAACTACTCTGTTAGTCCTCAGGACTTCCAGGAAGGCACAGTGCTCTTGCAGGTGCAAGTCAGTTCTTGACAGCTGCAAGACTGAAGGATTAAATTAATTTTTTTTTAATTGTTACGCCACGGAATTCACTTGGCTTCTGGTATAGTGGGATTAAAACACATCGTGACAACAACAGCTTTTTATTGGTGTCATACAAACATACAAACACCAAAACCTGGAAAGCAGCAATTCTTTTGCTGTTTTTACGTACTTAACAGTGTAGGATATTTCTTTTCCTCATCTGGATCTGTGGATACACAATACCACAAATACAGTCTACTAATGAGCAGAAAAAAACCCAGGAAACTAAAATCAAGCATTTCAGAGAAAATATGTGTGAATGCATAAGTGAACTTTGATAGAAGCAAGTCAGATATGCTTATGCCTCTTAGCTCTTGCAGGAATGAAAGCACTGGAACACACACTGCAACAAAGAACATTTTGTAGAAACCCTTTCATATATGTTATGAGATTATATTGAGTTACAGGCCATCATTAAGTCACCAGGGCAAAGAACAAATCTTTCTGGATGCTATAAAATTTTGAAGTAGGATCTGTCACCTAGTGAGAGGAGGTAATTTATCAGACATCTGACAAATTCTTATACTTTGTTAATAAGATGAAGGTAAATCACAAAAAAAAATGAAAGAAATCAGTATTGCACTCATTGGACCAGAAAGAAATATCAGCCTTTTGCATTTGCCATTTTCTTCCCCCTATAGCCTCTTGCAAAAAGAAGCTTTGATAATAGAAGTCTTGTCTAGCTCGACATCAAGTACAATCTAGATAAACACCTTTTCAAAGGCAGAACAGTATCATAAATTCGGTTTCTGTGAATGGCAGCTCAGTTATGACTGAACAGGTCCACCATTCTGTAACTGCAGTTGTTCTTACTATTAAGAAAATAAAGATTAAATCCATACCTCCAGTGTCAGAGAGCTTGCCTCTGTAAATTTTGTCCTCTACCACATCTGTCCAGTACAGTAAACTCTGACTGAAATGGAAGTCAAGGGCTATTGTATTTCTTAGCCCAGGAACTAAGAGGCTGTAGTCACGCTTGTGAAGATCAATTTTTCTGATCTCATGTCGAATAGAAAAAATTATGAAAGCTTCAAATGGATCTGGAAGCAGAAGATTATACATTTCAAAAGGATAATAAAGAAGATATTGTTACATATTGGTATAAATGACAAGTAGAGGGTGAACGGCAGAACACTTAATCAGGAGGAACAGATGATTAAAACAATTAATCTTCTGATAAGGAGTCTTTCAAATACTTTTTCAGTCCCACAAACTTTTCACTTCTCCCTTTGAACATTACCTTTGATCCCAATGATAGATATTAAACATTAAATTTGGAAATATCAAACTCAGCTATTGAACTGTGTTTTGTAGCCCATAATTTGAGCTTTAAAAAGTCACAGTATCAAAATCAAAAGCTGATTTCTCCAAAGTTTCAGAAAATATTAATCTATTAAATTATACATTGTTTCAAATACCAGTCAGTTGAAACATTTTACTAAAATATAGATAATGTACCTTTTCAATATAATATGTACCTTGGTTTTCAATTGAAGTGCTTAAAAAACCCCTCACCCCAAACTAACAAGCAAGAAAATTAACATTTGTACATGCTTATTGATACACTTCATCACAAATCCAGCTACCATTACAGTTCTCCTTTTTTATTCAATTAGTGTTACAAGATTTGTGCCAGTGAGTTTAAATCAAATTGCATCAAATTGCACATAAATATCTGTAAACACACTCTGCATAGGTCAACCATACTATGAAATTGATTTTTTTTTTATTATAGTTCTTACATATTTTAAATTAGGAAAGGTTTTGCAAACAAGTAGCTGTGTTAATAAAACAAAAAAGGAAGACAAAAATTGGATTCTGTAAATTGTTGAATCAACTTGGCATATCCACTTTACTAAAGATTTCACAGCAACCCTTTCCTGTGGGGAAGTAATTGGGTTTCTTTCCCCCCAGTTCTTTCTCCTGGGGTAGAATACAAATTATACTGTGGGTCTTGTTTCCCTATACAATTAAACCCCCATTTATATAAAATATTATTGGCTGTTTATGGCAATAGGCAGTATTGCATTGTTCTTCTAAAATATTCAAAGAAAAAGTCGCACAAATTTTACTCTCTACTTTCAAGTAGAGACGTGTTAATACTACTTTTTGAAAACATTAACTTCATTATGTTCTTCTCTTGATACCCATTGCACACACAGAATAAATCATGATGTTTTAAGCTAATCAGGTACCTCAGCAGAGCTGTTTCTGCTCTTGCATTACTTGTTCAAATCTGGCTTGAACTTTCCAAATGATCCTCCTGTTTGTGAAAGCAATGAATGACTTCCTGTAAAGTCATTTTCAAAGCTCTGCAGTAGTTAAATAATTTAATAAAGAGCAGAATCACTGACATTAGCAGATATTTCACAAGTACCAGTTATCTGAACTTGAGAAATACTTTAGTGGTATTTCCCAATTTCTCATCAGTTCACAGCTATTATGCAGATTTTTTTGCAATTCCCATGCATAAGATCACACATCATGATCATGAACAGTGGTTTCTTTTATATTTCTCATTAACTGACACCACAATGGGAAAAAAAAAAAAAGAAACCTAATAAACATGTGCTATGTTGGATGTTTTTTTTTTTCATTCAAAGCAGAGGAAGTAGAGCTTAAGATAAATAACCTACAGTGAAAATTATCAAGAACACTGATGAAAAGGATTAAAGTTCAATGGGATCTTGACACTTGAAATAAATATGACATAACCCTTCCACTCCCTTCACCTAAGCTTTGTTGTCAACAGCCAAGATACTGTACCCTCTCCTGAACACATCTCTTAAAAAAGAATGTCAATCAACTACATAAGTGCAAGGAGAAAAGAGTAAGTGTTGTAAGAGATCTAGAAAGCATGACTTGCAAGGAAAAAATGAACAATCTGGAATTCCTTAGTCTAAAAAAACCCCCAAACCCCCAAAAAACCAGAATAAAATGATGACAGGAAGCACATAAAATTCTCCAAAGACATAAAAAGCCTATGAATTGAAAATGGGAAAAATCCTGTTTTCTGTATAAACAACAAGTAGGCCAAGGATTAAAGGCTTAAACTGGACCAGGAAGACACAGAAAGACTAGAAAAACAAAAATCTTAGGAGAGTGAGGCACTGAAACATATCTCCCCAGGGAAACTTGGAGTTTACCACTGAGGGTGTCTTGAAGGTCTTGGAAAGCAGATAAACAAGAGCAATATTAAAATTAGCCTTTGATCTTCCTTCCAACCTTATCACTCAATGGTTCTATAAAACGAGTTGTATTTTAGTGAATTGGAATTTTCAGGCTCAATCAAATCAATGTTATTTAAAGTTATACTGCCATCACCCTCTAAAAACAAAATTTGATGTTATTTTCCCATTTGATTCCTCTTCTAAAAATTCAAAGCAAATACTTTTTATTCTACAAGTTGACTAAGAGCTTTTTTGTAAAATCTCAAATCAATGTAATGGTTATTGATTACATTCTTTAAAACTTTAAGGAAAATCCACTGTTAACAATTTATTAGAGAAAAATCATACATTCCTGTACCTTCTTATTTCATAACTGCACCAAAGCTTTTTTTACCATACATATAAGTGTATAAAATATATGAAAAACATAAAGCATAAAACTACATTAACAGTTGTAAGAAAAAATTCTGAAAGAAGAAAACTGCATATACAATACAGTCAAAAGAGACTGTATATAAAGAATAGTGCTTCACTTTTTCCCACGGTTCAAATTTAAAATTCTGTCTTGAGAAAAATTCTAACTGAAAATAACTGTTTCACTGAAGCTTATTGTAACAGTGGCAGCACAGCAAGTGATATACACTATGCTTTTATGACAATCACCTCAAAGGAAAACAATCATTTCATAAGGATTCTGCAAAAAACACTTCATTAAAAGTTGGATATTGCTCAGAGAGGACTGGACTACTCTCTCTCTCACCCTCCCTCCATTTTAGTATTGAAAGCAATCTGGAAACTACAAGAAATTTGAATTTCAAACCTGCTAAAACAGACAAAACAGAGATACATCATCAAATATATCTGTATATACAGTGATATTACAGAGTTCCCCCAAAGCTTAGAAAACCCAGTTCTAAAAGGTTGAACGTAAACATAAAATTTAAGTATCTTTCAAGAACAGTGGTTTTTTCTGTATGCTTATTATCAACTAAAAAAGCAAGTACAATATAACAGCACAACCTATTTTGAAATGTATTCCAAGAGGAACCAGGGACAAGAGTATGAACACATGTAATTTGTACTGACTTTCTACCTAAATAATGGAGCTCTGCAACATACTCTTATATCAATACAAATTTAAATATAAGTAAAACAATTAGGCTTTGGGAAGTCAGTAACGTAACAATGCCAGAACAGCAAACTAGACAAAAACAAGAGATGAGAAGTAAAGAAACCCTGAAGGAGAAGAAAACAACATTTAAAACCCTCAAGAAACAAAGACAACCTAAGCAGAAACAAGAGAAAATGGGAAACTAAGAAAAAGTTTGAAAGAGGAACTAAAAAGAAAAAAACTGCTCAATTTTAAGCATTTTAGTTCCTATATACTTATTATCCTATAACTCATTATATTTCTCTGGCAATTAATTAGATTCCTCTTACAAATACAGTATTTGATTCTGGTATGCAATCAGGAAAAAAAAAGTTCAAATCACCGCGTTTTCAGCATTCATATTCCCATTAAATTTGTGACAGGCTCACAAAAAATGTTTTTACAATATTCTGAAAATGTGCTGCATGCTGGCTTTACATGTTATTGCTGTGGACTTCTATAATGTTTGCCTGTATATAGGAAAGGGTTATTTTAGAGAGAAAAAAAGAAAGTAGCCAAGGGCAACGTAATCACTTTCCTCTAAGAAATTTTTTTTTTCTCCTGGAAAACAGTGCTCTAATATAATACACCTACTCCTGGTTCAAGGCATTTTAAATCACTATGGCTATTCTAAGAATTACTTCATACCAACTGGAACTATTGAAATAGTAGTTTGGTATTTGGGGGACCACTTATCTTTGCAAGATCATGATGAACTTTACTTATTATATAAAAGTTTTTTTGCTATTTTAAATTCATGCGAGATTTCTTGCCTAGAGACATAAATGGTATGGACATTGTGAGCCTCACAGATTCACAAATGGGACCAAAATTGTTCTCACTTTACTAAAATGCCATTCGCACAGCAAAAAAGTATCAGAGGATCCTTCCTTCAGAGTACTTCTTGTGCCTCTTGAATTAAATAAACTGAAATTTATTTTATCAGTGACTATAAAAGCATATGCCATATTCAATATAGAATAATTTTGTTGCAGCTTTGATGCCATTAGCACAAGTCTTTCCAGTTTGTAAAGAGAGGTATCATTTTTCTTTATATCAGCGGACATCTCAGCTCTCAGATCATATATTTAGTATTAAACTCTTTGAGAAAATCTGGAAAAATCTATCTGTAACTTCAGTTTCTCACCAATATCAGTAAACTTTAAGCAAAAGCATCTCATGGGCTTAAGGAAAACTGAGAAACTTGTAGCTTTACTTTAGCACAAATGAGCTCATTTCACCTTGGGTTTTTTTTCCTCTCAGTTTCCAAATACTGGTCATTTCTACCTGCTTTAATTTAAAACCTGTTTGAAGTTTTCCTCAAGTGAGTTACTAACTCTTCCTGAAATGCTTTTATCCCTTTCATGTCTGTAATCCAGTAAGAATGGACTTTTCCGAATTACTGGAAATATCCATAAAAAAAACCAAATCAGTCTGATCAAAAAAATCAGTGAGAATAAGATACTGTCATAAAATAACTACTTTGACATGAATAAAACAAATTTCCGATACACAGAACCACATTAATATACCAGTGAAGCCTGATTTGAGGGTCTACTATCAGCACAGCTCAGTAAAGTCTGAACATGTAAACCCAATCCCATACCATGGTAGTAACTATTTACACATTACTGTAACAATTATGGAGCCACAAACACTGAACCTAGAGATCATTCTAGAAATTATAACAGCTATTCCAGCCTAATGAATGTAAACCACATTCTTAACAAATTAAAAATAAAGCTCAAAGGTAAGATGTGCAATTCATGAGCGTTTGCTAAAAGCTCCTCAAGAGAATATCGATGATATAAAACTAAATTTTAATTACTCATTGCTTTGAAAAGAGAAACATTACTTTTATTACACCCAATAAATATTTTGGCCCTAAGTAAGTTGTTTGCTTTGTTACTACTGTAACAGTTTTAAAATGTTGTGTAAATTATCTAAAATGCTGTCAAAGTGGAAAGATCAGAATTTGCCTTTCCTAAAATACAAACCATTACATTGGCTGCTAATTACTAAATAATTTCAGATGACCTGCAATAAGGAAATTAGGCTTTTATTTCTAACTTGCTGCCTCTGAAGTTTTTCACGTCAATCACCTGAGGAAATGAAGGGTATGTGGAATAAGAATTTCTTAAACATGATATCAACTGAATTCTGAAATATCCAAATAAGCAATAGACAGTCTGGGAGTTATTTCTATTCAGAATTGATAAGACACTATCAAAGAAAAAAATAATACAGAATAAAAATATCAAAAAAATCCCCAACTGAAATTCTGAAAATCTAGACAGCAAAATCAATACTGTTTTAACTCCCTACAGGGCAGGTAAAGATGTGATGACAGTTTATATTGCATGTACGTGTTTGTATTTTACACACAGCACTGCACTTGAAAAAGACACCCCTAACAGAGTTTCTAAATCCTGCTTCAGTACCCATCAGCAGCGAACAACCAGGGGAATGCACCCCCCCCTCCTCTCTTTTGGTTCATGTTGGTTTTCATCTCGATTACTGAGCTGAAAAGTGTCTAACTGATGTCAAAAAACAAGTACTAGAATATCTTAGGGGAGAAAAATTGCTGAAATCATGAATGCTAACAGGCAGCACATAACTGGACATTCCAAATTAACCTTCAGAACCCTCAGCTAATACTGGTCAATATCATGATGTCACAGATGGATCTGTTTCTTAAAAATATATACTAAATTCCCCATTTTCCATATATATATACACACACACATATTTATCTCCCATGCATACTAAATATACATGAAAAAGGTATCAAACTTCCAACAATTTAGGAATTAATTGTTATTAACATTCTCAGAAAATTTTACAAGCAACAACCTACTATTTCAATACCCCTTTGTCCATCAAGAATAGGGACAGCTTTAATGAGTCCTTAGATTGCCATCAGCCCCACATGTGGATAATCCAAGCCTATATTTTCATACAGAAAAGCGAAATAACCTCTCAGTAAATTTCCACATCATCTATTAACATCCTGAATATTGAAAATACACTGAATTTCAACTTACCAGTACTAACACAATTTTCTCCATCCTTACTGAGCTTCCAGCCTTCATAACATGAGCACTTGACAGTGTTTTTATGCTGTTCACATACTTGGCTGCACTTCAGGTGCTTGGTACAGTAATCCATAACCTCACAAGTTTTGTTGTCTATACCAAGACTGAATCCTGCAGGGCAGGAGCACACAATTCTTCCTCCAGGAACCACAGAACATTGATGGCTACATCCACCATTGTTAAGTGAACATTCATCTGAAATAACATGAAAAAATAAAAATGAAGGGCTACAAGGGCTCTCAGTTATATTGTATATTCTTAAAGTCACCAGGGCAACTAAAACACATAAAAGGCCTCTAAGAAGCGCAAACTAAATTTTACATTTCTAAACCAGATTTCTATATTTATTTTTAACATTATCTAGTGTGTAAATATTCATCACTGAAAGGATGCCATCCAGAAGGATCCTGACAGGCTTGAGAGGTTGGCCTGTGAAAAACACATGAAGTTCAACAGGGCCAAGTGCAACGACCTACACCTGGATCAGGGCAGCTCCAAGCACAAACACAGGCTGGGTGGAGGATGGGTTAAGAGCAGCCCTGAGAGGTACATGGGGTTGTTGGTAGATGAGAGGCTTGACATGACCTGGAAATGTTCTCTTGCAGCCCAGAAAGCCAACTGTGCCCTAGGCTGCATCAAATAAAGGGTGACTTCAAGGGAAGGAGATTTTTCCCCTGAATTCTTGTGAGACCCCACCTGAAGCACTACAAACAGCTCTGGGGCCCCCAGCATAAGGAGAACATGGACCTGTTGGAACAAGTCCAGAGGAAGCCATGAAGATGCTCAGAGAGGTGGAGCACCTCTGCTATGGAAATAGGCTGAGAGTTGGGATTGTTCAGCCTGGAGAAGAGAAGGCTCCAGGGAGACCTTAGAGCACATTTCAGTATCTAAAGGGGCTCCAAGAGAGCTAAAGATGGACTTTGGTCAAGGGCCTGGAGTGACAGGACAAGGGGGAATGGCTTCAAAGGGAGGGTTATGGCTTCAGAGGGCAGGGTTAGATTAGATATTAAGAATAAATTTTTGACTGTGAAGTCAGTGAGGCCCTGGCACAGTTGCCAGAAAAGCTGTGGCTGCCCCATCCCTGGAAGTGTTTAAGCCCAGGCTGGATGTGGCTTTGGGCAACCTGGTCTAGTGGAAGGTGTCCCTGCCCATGGTAAGGGAGTTGGAACTGGATGATTTTTAAAGTGCCTTCTAACCCAAACCATTCTATGATATGAACCCAAGATCTTGTACTTGGAGAGAACTGTAAATGAGTTTAAGTTTTTTCCTACATACCAATGCCTTTTAAATTGTTTACCTCCAAGAGTATTTTAAAGGGGTTGAAAATGAAAGACTTAACTAAAGAACTAGGTTTTCTCCTATTTGAAGAAAACTGATCTGTCAAGCATAAACTCAATATGATTTTAATGAAACAAAAATCCTCACATAGGTTATGGTGATAAAATTTCAGTAAGATTAACATGGCAACACTTTTTCCAACAGGAAGCACTGAGACAGACAATATCAAGAGTAATCAGAAAAATGTGTCTAAAAGAAGTACCACAAAGATCGCCTTCATCAGATCCATCAGGACAATCTCTTCTCCCATTGCAGAGCTTCTCAGGCTGTAGGCAGATGGAGGTATCATTAGCACAAGGGTATTTTGGTGGTCCACACATATAGCCCTCGCAATTATCCTCATCAGACTGATCCTCACAATCAATATCGCCATCACAAAGCCACGCTTTGCTAATGCATCTCCCTTGGAGAAAAGAGACAATAAACACAGGAAATCAGACTGGAGGCAAACTTTGGTGAAAAAAGCTTCAGTAACAACATATAGATTTTTTTTTTTAATTATGCTTTTCTATTAATAGCACTTTCCTCTAATGAACAGAAAGAAACAAACTTATATTCTGAAGCACCATCCGTGACACTGTTGACAGACTAATTTTCCAGACACCACCAATCTTAGTTATTTCTATGCTGAACAGAACTGTATATAGGCAGGACACATACTCATATTCTGTTAAATATATCAACTTATACTGATATGTTTAATTTTTTTTTTTAATTTCTGCTTTTCTTCATGTTTTTTTCCAACAGCCCTCCATGTGAGCAATGTTTCAGTGCAAGAGTTTCTACTAGCATGGGTTTGAGAAGCAAAAATCCTTCTAGGAAGTATACACAACACATTCCCAGATGATGTCAGATAAATGATCAGTTTTTAGACAAAATAACTACAGTGGAGGAAATTTCTTACATGATTTCAGTTTTGTCAAACCAGTGCTCAGATCAGTGTCTTAAATTCTCAAAAAGGGAAAAAGATTTCCACCTTTGTGCTGACCATCAATGTTTAGAGATGAAATACAGTTTCTTGATTGTAAAAGGGGCTTTAATCTTTAAAAAATTTAATACAGGTATTAAATTAGAATCAACAAAGCCAGGGATTTTAATAGGTGAAAAAGAGCCAAGATTGGGAATGCTGCCACTTACAGGTGTGTGTGTGTGCTCCTGTCCCAAGCAGTTTTTCAACTCTGAGGAATAACCTGTTACTTGCTAAATACAACCAGGAGGGACTAATTGTAAATTTTGATAATACCTACACTGAACAAAAATGCCACATACTTTATTTTCCACTTAATAAAGAGAGAACAGATAGAACCATCGGTTATGAAGCTGATCTCGAACCAATTTTTTTTTTTTTATTTTATTTTTTTTTTTTGCCTATAAGCCATTCACTTAGACAAAATCAAGCTGTAATGGGAAAGAAGGTCCTGCAAACATTTTGATCCACTGAGAGCAATGCTGGTGGATGCCCAGGGGCTCACTGCCAATACCTGAGACTGATAACTTCAAACCTACACAGCATGAACCCACCCACATGACTTTCTGCCCAGCCTTCCCAGTTTAGCAGCATTCTTCCCAGTAGGAAACTGAGACTGATTATGACTTGGAGGGGGGAAGCAAGTGAGTGAGCATGTAAAATAATCAGCTAGGGTAAAACTAACATTGTTGCTCCTTTAATACACCTTGGTGATAACTCTGCTATGGGCTGTCTTTTGCACTGCAACTACTGTGACAGTTCAATACCAAACCACCTCAAAAGAGATTCTGTGCTCTCTCCACATAACGTAGCAACTGTCCCCAGCTCCACTGTCTGTTGAGATACAGAATCAGATTTCAATTTCTTTGGAAGGAAACATTTGCTTAAGATTAGTGCAATGCTTTTCCCTTGATTGCGTAGGGTGCTGGTGTTCTCACAATGTCGATGAGGATAAAAGACGGGGAAAAAAGAATGAAAAAATATGTTTCTGCAGCACTCACAAGGCAAATGTGAGACTCTTTGCACTTTTGGTGAAGAAAAGCAAGAAAAACTTCAGGACCATACTACACTGAGTGTGGTTTCAAACAACAGAACATTGTTTTACCAGTGCAAAATCACCTGGAAAATGTAAACAGGGAGGGTCATCAATTAGAATGAAAAGCTTCCACTATTTTTATAGTGGCCAAAGTCCCAAATATGCTATACTGAACAGAGAGAACTGCACAAACACAAGGAATCAAAATTGCATGCATGTTATGTATGGAGTTTATCATTACCTGCAATCACAAATGTTTCAAAAAATTATCCCTATTTTTTATCTTGAATGATCATTGATTTTTATATAAGATTATAAAACAGCAGTAGAATGAAAGCTAATGGAAAATACCAACATCAACTAAACTAACCAGAACCCAAAATAAATCAAAGTTGCTTCCAGCAGAGCTCCTAATCTGTTATTTTAATCTTTTATACATTCAAATATTTACAGGGCAAAACAGTTTTCCTGCCTCTCTCATACCTTAGTGAAGATATGTTTTATAATGAAAGATTCATCTTTCATCATGATATATATGACAGGTTCTTAAGTAGAATATACTTTCAAAGAATTAATCTTTGCCAAAATCCTAAAGAGATGGACTTAATGAAATATTATGACTGTCTTGAAATCATTACTTAAAATTCACAGAAGTATTTTTGCTTTATTGCCCCTTAGGGAAACTCATATTTCTGGTTTCCAGGAACCTTTTTAGTTAAATTCCATCATAAATTAATAGCCTCAATGGATATATCTGTTTTTTTCCATTGTTCTTTTGTGTAACACTGAAGAAATACATGTAATACAGTGAAACAGAAGGCCTGAAGCAACAAGTATGTGGGAAAGCCTGATCCAAATGCTTCTCCAACATTTTTTATTTCCTACAAATATTAGCAAATACAACAGATTTAACTGTTTTTATACCATTCAGTGTTTGTTGGCATACCGAGCCCATGAGGTTTTTGGATTGATTACATTTTCAACCTTAGGAAAACTACTTTGATGGAGCATTAATTGCATTCAGTTTCCTCTTATAGCTAATTCTTGCTGCATAAAGCTGCAGTGCCTTCCTAACCTGTAGAATGGACTCAATCTTGTTCCCATCAAAATGAAAGAATGTTCCAATGTGACATTAAATAAAATGTTGTGATGGTCAATGATCTTGCTCATAGAACACCTCTGAGACTTAGACTGAACCACATTATTTCAAGAACATGGACATTTCTTGTGTTTAAAGCTTTTAGCAGAACTTAGATCTTTAAAAATGCCTCCTGAGACAGAACAAAAAAAAAAAAAAAGAGGACCTAAAGAATATATTTGTTACTACAGAAAACAATGAACTGAGGATAAAAATACAGGATTGGAACAACATACATAATTTTCTAGTTTACTTGCTGCAGTTGTTTCTTTTTATTCACATTTATAATGTCAACTGAATCCACCCCTTCAGTCAGAAATTTCATCATTCTGAAAGACCATTATCAAAAAGGTTATCAAAGTAGTTGTACAAGACGTAAAGCTCTAAAAATCTGAAAGTATGAGAGGAGACAGGGAAGGTAGGAAACAAGTGGAAGGAACACAGGCAAACCCACCTTATGACTGATACCCTTTCCACCCACCCTTTGAGTTCCTCCATGTGTCCCATTGTCACATTCTTATTAAATCTTCACCTCTTTCAAAATTCCTCCCATTCTATAACTCCACAGTAGCTCTTTCCTCCTCTAAACCCTCAGAGAATCTGTAGGACAGCCCTACCAATTTCTTCATCATATTTCTGGACAAACTTTCCTTCCCAGTCTTCCTCAGTACCAGCTTCTCTCCACTCTCCTCTACTTGTCACATACCCACACCTGGATTCTCACACTGCCCCATCCAGAGGGTACCAGTGTTGTTGGTCTCTTCTTCCAGTATCCCTGTGATGATCACCTATTGACTTTATTTCCTCTATGTACATTCCTTAATTTCCATTCCAAAGGAATATATCACCCTCTGATATATTATTAAAATGTGAGGGGAAAAAAGCATAAAATAATAGCCCACAGGATAGCATTAAAATGGTAAGATACAAAATTAACTGCTGCTTGAAAAATTGTAAAGAACTGTATGACAAATATACATTACAGTTCAGATCTACTGCTTACTAAACTGAAGTATTCATGGCTCTTTTGCATTTGCCTTCACAGAAGTACTTTATTATGATCATCAGAGTAATTAGATGACTTTTTAAGTAAGATTGCAGAGATTCAGCTCTTGCTCCAGTACTACTAACTGAAAAGTAGGGAGATGGAATAAAAAGGACAGATTTATGTAGTACATAAAACTGAGATGAAGTACACGCCTGCAATAATTTTCAAAATCAGAATTTAAAATAGAAAGTTGAGTCTTATTCTAATTTAAATTAATCTAGTCTAATTTAAAAGAAGTCTAATCTAATTTAAAACCAGAAAATAATTGGCTAGAAGCAGCCCAACAGTAGTCAATCTTAATCAGGTAGTTATTGCATTTCATATCCTACTGCTACACAACCTCTAGCATAGTTTTCATCACACATCACCACAAACAACCATATGATGCTCTTGAAAAAATTAGAAAAGCAATTCTGAAATCTGGAAACTCAAGTACCCTGGAGCATTTTGGCTGACTTTGGATGCCATAGTTCAAGAACTGTCCAGGTTGAAAGTTCCAGCAGGACCAACAAAAATACTAAAGGTTTAAAAATATAAAACAAAAATAGAAGACACGCAAGAGGAAAGAGAAAAGTGTTGTTTATTCAACAAATAATGTGGCTAAAGAGAAATATGACATAAGTCTTTTGATATTCAAACAGCCAGATAACTTATTAGGAAAAAAGTTGAGAACACCACTACTCTAAGCAGAAAAATCACATTTTTCGCTCAGTGCTGACAAATGCTGTATTTGTAACATGGCACTCACACCTGTGGCACTGTGACAGAATAACCAGAGCCAACAAAAACTACAGTAAGGAAAGACCCTGTGCCTCTTATGTATGGAAAAGAATAAAATGAAAAAGAAATAACCAAAAGTGGGCAGTAACATCTCACTGTTATTGCTCTCACCAACTGTCATTTCTCTTCAGAAGTACTGGGTGTTTCAGCTCCACACACACACGCTCCCACCCAGACCCATCACGTGCTGTGTTAGGAATCCTGATGCCACCACCTAACAATCTATAAAGGGAAAATTAGCCAATACCACCTCATCTGTACAATTCTCATAAATGTGGAAGCCAGGCAGCGTTATTTCTTTAGAATAATCCACAGAGAAAATTGCATTTCTCCTGAAACATCACTGTTTCTCATAAACCCATTATTACTCCTTTGTCCTGCCACAAGGAATTAAACTGAAAAGTAGCTAAACAAAAAACTGCCTTTGCTGTTTTCTGTTCCAGTGCACTGTCAACAAGCCTCCTCCAGAGCAGCAGTTTTGCTCCTTCCAGGACTGATGGAAGGAAAATTGTGAAAGAAAAAAAATATGGATGAAACTGTCACAGCTGATACCTAAAGTGGTGTATTTCCACAAAACTAACAAACATAACTCCATTTTCTTCTAAACTAAAGCCATAAACCCTTGAATTTAACCCAAATGTTTGATGAAAATATTTTTTTTTTTTTGCTGTATTTCTATGTGGCAGCCAGAGATGTCATCCTTCATCCTGTGAAAAAAGATGTTGCCCTCCTTACACATGACTGCAAACTTAGAGGAGTGTATAATGAGGTAATGTAGTTTGGAAGTGAAACTGTGGACTTTAAAAAGCTGTTCTAGTTCTTTGCCGCAGAAACAACTCATTCAAAGGGTTATGCTGAAATTAAATATTTGTTATTTCCTTTTATTACTGTAGCTGTACTTGGGAAAATTTCAGCTTACCACCAGAATGGGTTTTTCACTCTCTGTATCTAAAATCATTCAGGTTAAGCAAGAAACCAAAGTTCACCCTAGGAACTAAGTTTTTCCAAAACATAGTCAAGACTAACAACTAAAATCTACACTTCATCTTGTATTCCACACTGCCTCTAACCTTGTTCTTTGCTTTCTATTAACTACAGTAGTAACATCTCATTAGTTTTCCAAATGCAACTGCTGAAAATAAGCCTCATCTATTGAGATTTCACCTTTCTTCTCTCTCATAATTCAGCTTTAGTCACTTGGGTTGGTATTACCTTTTCCCCATCTAAGCACTAGGAAAAAGCATCAGCAAGAAGTGGATTTCCTGGGTCAGGGTTTCCATCAGTCTATTTCAGGGAACAGGTCATTCTATTAGAAAGCAATAATCCATTTTTACTTATTGAAACTATTTAATTTAACAACTGCTTAATCTACAGATCTTTATGGAACTGGTAAGAACACAAAAGGAAATGTTTTATTTAGACAAAATTCAGTATTCCATGTTTTTTTATCTGGACATTATGATTTCTATAACTTTAAAATTCAAACAGCAGCAAACTACTTTTAGACAGCTCACTTAACTAGTCTGCCACTTTTATCATGCTTAGCTATAACACAGGCATTAGAATGGGTTCTCCTTTCCTGTAATAATTACAGTTGCCTAATAAAAATAATATTAGTACTTATTATAATCTGAATTAAATTTGGTTTTGAAAGTTATATTAGCCTTAATATCCCATTAAGCTTTGAAAGAAATTGCAAAAATATTAATACAGTGTTGACATATATTAATTTCTTCCTTAAATGGACTTTTCCTTAAAAAAAATATTCCATCTAAACATCATATAATGATTGTCACATTCTTTTTACATCTTTTAATGAAGTATTATGAAGTATAGGGAAAAATTATTTTAAACATTCTCAAAGAATATATTTTTCTTCCAGTGCTGCAGTTCTAATTCTTTGAAGTCTTCTAGCTAATTACTTGGTATTACTTTAGTCAACTTACTTCTAAGGTCAAGGACACAAAATAGTAGAAAATATCTGGACTTTGGAGTACTATTAAATGCTATATTTAAATATTTGGTTTGATGTACTATCACAGAGAATAATTTCAGCTTTAAGTAAGCTCAGAACCCATCCATTTCATATTGTAAATCAGAAAACAGGTTAGGGGATGTATTTTCCTGGTATGAGCACAATAAGCAACCTCACCTCAAGAGTATTAATCATTAAAAGCAGTAGTCAAACAGTAGGTATGTGATCAAACAACACATACACACACTGAGCAAATGAGAGCAAAACATATTTGCAAGCACATACCTGTACTCTGGCAGGAGAACTTTGTTTTTTCATCACACAGTCGGATAGTTCCATTACAGCCCTTTTCATCACTCCCATCTTCACAGTCCTTTTCTCCATCACAGCGCCACAACTCAGGCACACAGTTCCCATCAGGACTGCACTGAAATTCCCTCCCATTGCACCTTCCAGGAGAGGGAGTTTCTTAGAAAAATAAGAATTACATTGAAGAATTTTGCTCATGTGATTTTTATTTTTTTCCATTCCAAGTCTACAGTGACTTAAAATCCACCTTCCTAACAAAAGCCAAAATCAGAGTCCCCAGGTATAACACTCAAAACTCACTATTCCATCCTAACTCATCACTCCAACACAAGCTTCAGAAAAGCTCTTTCTTATCCTGCTCATGCCCTTCACTCCTCTCCTGTACTATAGGCTTAAGGAAAATACCAATTTTTAGTTCTTTTTTTCACAGAGGTCAGACAGGAACGAGTTTGGAGACGCAAAGATGACCAAGGCCAAGTAAGCTTTCCTGGTGCTTCACACGCTCTGCCTTTCATTCTCAAGCTACATTCCCTCCTCCTCCTTCAGTCTCTTTTATCCAACAAAGTCCATCTCCTAGTTCACAAAACATGAAAGGTCACACCTGTGCTCTAACAAGGCCCCAACACCTGCCTGGTTTGTGTTATTACAGCACTGGCAAAGCAGCTGCAGCCACTCCAAATTCCACAGCAAGGAACTTGAGTTCAGCGCAGCTACGGAATCACTGTTGACTGCTTCAAAGCATAATTACCACGTGAGTTTAATTATTCACCACATACATAATTCTCTAAGCGTTTTCTAGATTATGGCCTTTTCAATCTTATCCTTGCTTTCCTTTTCCCAAACTATTACCACTGTATTTCTATTATTAAATAACATACTAACAACAATAACGTGCACTTTACAGTAATGACATACTTATACATTCCTGTTTGTACCAATAAACACTATTTGAATAAATTCTTGTAGCACTGTTTGTAAATATACATTTTATAGTATTTAAGGTTGCCTTGGATTTTTTTTCTAACTAATTTACAATCTTGCATTCTATTGCAACAGAGTGAAGCTTTAAGCTTCAAGATGGTCATGAACAAGGGTATAAGTGGGTTGCTCAGTTCCAGATGAATTAAAATAAAAATAATTTTTGTAAGTGTATAAAAATTAAGGACTTCAGTCATGGTGTATTCTGATAATTCATCTATTTGTATGAGGTTTGCAACTAGATTTTGAATATAAACTTATAAAAAGGGACCAATAACATTGTGTACAATTACTTTGTTGTGGAAAAATCATTATGAGAAATATATGAAAGGTATTCCTTCATTCTGGTCTGATTATTATTTACTCTCTGTTACAAATGTCCTTCCCTTCTCTGCCCACCTGAATAAATACAATGTGTGGCATTTAAATACACTGTAGTTTGTTAAAATACTTTGATTAAAAACAAAAAAATCCTTACAAACTTAGAAACTTGGATCACACAAAAATGAGAGTAATACTGTTCCACTGTATGAAAAAATACACAGAAAATATCAATAACTACTTAAGGAATGCTTCTTACTGTCTCTTCACCTAGACAGCATGCATCTCTGTAATAAGACAAACCTCACAAATAGCATAATTCAGTAAACTATAAAATTTGTCTCACTGTAATATCCATTTTGCTTTCAAATGCATTCTTCTTCTATGATACACTTCTGTGTTATCATATTGCACTTGACATGTTTCCCATCCCAACCTTTACTAAGGTTAAAAGCATCATCTCTTTTTCCATTGATTGAAGACAAGTCCTCGGTATTTCTAACAAAGTATTCTCTGTGTTTATAAGTATTAAAATGTGGGAAGAAAAAAAAAATAAATCTGACCTTCCTTGCTGCAGTTTGCTTTGGTTTCATCACTGAAATCTCCACAGTCATTGTCACCATCACAAGCCCAGTGACTCGGGATACATCGACCATTATGACACCTGAACTGGTCAGCAGAACAGGAGTGAATGCAGCCCAGCTCATCACTTCCATCACCACAGTCATCATCTGCAAATATTAATATTTTAAAATAAAAAAAAAAAATCTGAATAAAAGATGTGAGGAGGGAAAAATATTTCCAAAAAGGAGGAAAAAAAAAAAATAGTGTAAATACAGTAGTATGCTTACTGCCCATAGGTACATAGTGAAATTATTTCTAATACCAATAACACCTTAAATCTTATTTACCAACAGCACTCAAATCTCATCAAATCTGTCACTTTGGATCATCTAACCCTTTACAGCTGCTCAGTCACAGGCACCAGCAAGCATAAGAAGGCTGTAGATTTTCTTAATTTCTTTAGTTGTGTGGTAACTACACAGACTTGCAGATACAGTGGGTTTACTTTACTCTCTGTGATAACTTAAGACAGTTAATCACAGACACAAAGAGCTTTATATAAACCAAAAGGAAACCCTGATAGCAGAATTTCTTTTTAATAGTATTAAACCTGTTGTTTCCATGTATTTGCAACAGTGCAAGGTTGCATGAAATAATAATAAGCGTGGAATGCAGTTTATTTTACTCTACTGTTGTAGTCATTACAACAACCTAAAGGCAATTTCTGTAATTTGATTGTGGTCATGAAGGGAGCAACAAGATAAATATGTTATATAAACTCTAAAGGGTCTCCTTGCACAGAATTTCAGTCAGTACAGAGGGATAATTTGGGGAATTTGTCCATTTACAGCTGCGAATTCCTGCTGGACTCATAAAATTATAGTAACATTAAATGCTCTGATGGATGAAGAACCAACCCAATGTTATTAGGACCGGCATGACATTACTGCCACACTGACAGTTCTAAGATTCATTTGAACAGCTGCCATTCAAATATGTACTTCTTTTAGACAAAAAACCCCGAATAAATTGTAAAGTCTTCCTGTCCTTCATTCTTGTGGGAGGCTATTTCTTTAATTGAACTTGTCCACAAACAATAAAAAAAATCAGATATATTGGTCACTGGAACTATTTTGCTTTCTAAAAGCACAAGATACGTTCATAAGCAATAGCTTTTTTTTTTTTTAATAATGAAGTATCACACTTGATTCTACATAATATACTGTTTGTAACTATTACCACATCCAATGCCTCATTCCTTATATGAAGCTTCAGTACTGCTGTTTTCTAGGTCAGGTCAGTAATTTAAAAATGGTTTATTTATTCTCTGACCACTTACAAGTCAAACTGGCAATATCAGACTCAGAAAAGAAGCATGTGCATCAAAGCAATATTTATGTAATATCCATCATATTCATTTCACATATGGAGCACTTGATACTTGCCTGAATCACAGAGCCATTTGCTGCTAATGCATCTTCCATTTCTGCATATAAACTGAGTTAGTGGCTCACATGTTGGGAATTCTGTGAAAGTGTTCAAAAAGAAATAAAAACTATTTAATGTACATCCTCTTCAGTAATGTTCTTCCACCCTCCTATGTGCCATCTGCACCTGCCAGCTACTTAATCTGGAGAAGAAAAAAGGGTGAGACACCAAAAAGGGAGGGTGAAAAAAGCTTTAAAACTGTAAATACTAGTCCAAACCCCATCCTTCCTCCACAGAGGCCATAAAAATGCATTATTTTGTGCCATATAACATTGTCCTACATTCCCATCAGACCAGGGCTGGATTTTGCATTAAGCATGATAATATTTATGAATAATTATAGCTTGATATGAACAACTGATATGAACCACATTCTATGTGTTTATTTATATAAAAGAGTTCTCCAATTGCATTAGCACTGCCAGTAAAAAACAGGAAATGGAAAACTATAAAATGAGAAGGTTAAGCAAAAGAAAAGAAATAAAGTTACCCTACGTTGGCATAATAAAATCCAAAATTAAAATGTCACTATTTACAAGGAGTTCCTCCAAGCATTCCAGTAAAGTAGCAGAAATCTGAAACAATGTATTTAATAAAGAATCATCTATATTACACAGATATTTGTTTTTATAATTGTCTAATATGCCTCTGCATAGAATTACTCAAATATAGTCTGAATTTTTTCCAGAGTTCTTTTTCTTCTAAAACCTATGACATAGCCAGATACGTGCATTCATACCATTAACCTGTTCAACAGTTTGGAAAATACAAGATCTAGTTTACAAAACCTGGCAATTCATAGAAAACAATCTGAAAGTCTCACTTCAGTCTTCAGTGCTACTTATGTGGCCTAATTCTCAAAAAAAAAACAAAGTACTGATGAGATTTTCTAAATCTTTATAAAATGTCATTAAATGTAAAAGTTCCTGAGGACAAGAAATGAAATTGCTTGTCTTAAAAAGACTCGGCTTAAAAAGAGTCACACAAGAGAGCACTAAGCCAAAGCAGCTGCATCAAATAGCAAATTTAGAGATCCCCAAGAACTTCACTGGACGTGATTATCCTGCTTCAAAACAGAAAAGGGTGGGGAAAAAAGCTAATATTGATGACAACACTCCTAGAAAACTAGAAAGTTTTGGAGTTTGCCTTGGTTTTTTTTGTGATTTTTATTCATTTTGTTTTGCTTCATTGTTTGTTTGGTTTTTTGTTATATAAAAGAACTCCACCTTTTTTCTTGGGGAACACATTACAGTGACAACAAAAATCTCTTCTGAGACAAATAATGGAAATGATGGAAATGTTCAACTGCAATAGTACTTAGCTACAGTACGTGCCTTATGTGCTTCAAGCAAAGCTGAAAGTAATTTTTAATTTTGATTTTTAGCTGTTCAATAATTTTCCCAGAAATTTAACTAATATATTAAATGTATTTTTTCCCTTTCCACATCAATGCCTCCATGACTTCATTTTCACGTTCATCTGTCTACCCAAGACCTGTAAAAAGGGACAGAAGCTAACTAAAATGACTTATGTTTATCCTCACCAACACCATCTCATGATTTCCAGCCCCCCACAGCCTGTCCAAGGATGTTTTACAGTCCTTCCAGTGTTTGCTTCTCATGGACCCAGCCTCCACCATCATCCACAGCTCCTCCTTATATCCTAGGGGACAGACAAAACACTTCCCCTTATTGTACCTAGGTCTCTTTACTCCTTTCCTTTCCTATTTCCCAGCAAAGAGAAGCACATCCTGTAGCTAAATCATATCCAACCCTGTCCTGGCTGTCCTGAAGAGAGAGAAAGCAAGAATGGTGCTTCTTGAGCTTACAGTGAAGTCTCTCCATAGTGGAGACACTGATCTCATTTCTCTCTGCTATCCTTGTGCATGCAAGAATTTTAAAATGTTTCAAAGATAAAAAAAAAAGGTACTAAACAGAATAGCTAAATAAATGCTATTAGTGAACAAAATATAAGGTAGAATGAAAAATATTTGACATATTTGCACAGCCACAGTGCTCGAGGATAAAGAGACAAGATTCTAAACCACGAAACATATGTAAAGTTTGGCTAAATAGAGAAACAGCTGGTAAAATAAATCCCGATTAAATGATCTGAAGAAATATTCCAGATCAGCTGAGAGGACACTAAACAAAACACATGGGAAGGAATTACAAAGATGCCATTAAACTCTGCATGTTCCTAATGTGTTTGAGAACAAGGCACAGCCAGTCAGATAAACTGTTCTAGCAGTGAGTGCCAATGCTGTACCACTACTCAGAGTGTTATAATTTTAGAGATTGCAAAATGCAACGGGATGACTTATTCTACCTCTGTACACAAGTGAACTTATTTGATTTGAAGCATGGCATTAGAAGTCTACCTTAATAATATTATAGTTTTTACTCATATAATGACTTTATTTTATGCCCCATCCTGAAAGTGTTCAAGGCCAGGCTGGATGGGGCTCTGAGCAACCTGGTCTACCAGAAGGTGTTCCTGCCCATGGCAGGGGAGTTGGAACAAAATGGTCTTTAAGGTCTTTTCCAACTCAAACCATTTCATGATTCTATATTTGCAGACAGCTCATTGACCCTTGTGCTCTCAGACTCACAGCAGTTACCTGTGCCCTGCCAAACAGATGACTATTAAAAACCTTAATTGTTTGGGAGCAGCTGATTAGAGAGAGCACACCTCCCTGCAATATCTCTGCAAAGCAACAATCAGCACAGCTGCTGAAATTCTCATAACATAATCAAGAAATGCTATTTTTTTTCTGCAAAATACAACATCAAAGTATCCTTCTGTTCAGACTTGAAACAGGCTGATTATATTGACATCTAGAATATGCTGAGGGAGCCCATGTGAAGAGGTATGTGGCAGAGATAAAGAATAATTTTTGAGGGTGAGAGTATTTGATAATGGGCTGTAAATTAGAAAAAGTGTTAAGCTGATTGATCTGCATATTTGGTATTGTAGTTAAGAGCTCCTTAATAGAAAATTCTGCCTCTGTTTTGGGTTTATTTATCAATCAAATTCTATCTGCCATTTCAGAAATACCATCATCAGTTCATATAAGAACAAGATGGTCCCTCATACTTATTCTACCCATCAGTTTCACATGAACAGAAATCCTTATACGTTTTACTGTTTTACAGAATAATTTTACTTTTTTTTTTTCCTAAAAGAGAATTCACTTACCACAGGATGTCATTTCATCTGTCCCATCCCCACAGTCATCCTCCCTGTCACACAGCCATGATGTTGGAATGCAGCGTCCATTCCCACAGGAAAATTGGTCAACCTGACACGTTCTTGCTGTCAAGACAAAACACTCCAAAAATGCGAGGAAATGGACTAAATCCATCAGGTCTCTTGGTGCATGTCTGTGTGTAGAAGTGGTAAGTCTGGAGGGCACCTCCTTGGCCTGCTGAACATTTCACCTGATCCAACTAAACATCATTCACCTCCTCTGGCGTCAGAGAAAACTTAGGTCACCTGTTCTACCTCTGTTATGTGGAATTCTTAGTGGTTTCTTCACCATATAAGACCATGAGGTTTTACATGTAATGATACAAAACTAGGTGGTAGAAGAGTATTAGTGCCAGATGAAATAACGCTAATGCCAGAGGTGAAGCAAGCAAAAATCAGGGCATGAAAATGTCTACAGAATATTAACAAATTGCACTCCATAACATAAATAATGATATTGTGAAATTCATATTTACAGAGAAAAATGGTACAGCATGGGTGCAGTGTGCCTGGCCTCACTGTTCTTAGAATCATATCCTTTGCAAATACATAATTGTAATCATCCATTAAAGGAATCAATGCATTTCTTCCTGAAGAAATAAAGATCACTAAAAGAAACCATGCTATGTAACTTCATAAATTACTTTGAAAGTTGATGAATAGCAAGACATCACTTAAAAAATCTAACATATAAATGTGTCATTACTTAAAAATTTGTTTATTCAAATGTGAACCCATAACAATGCCAGTGATAGTGACACAGATTTTGATTCCAAATTTAAGGTTTTTTTAAATAGAGTTCTGCATGTCATTCTGCACTTTAAAAAAATGGTTGATATGTCAAACCCCTCAATAATCAAAATAATATTTCTTCATTTGGTATTCTCAACTACCATTTTCGTTTTTCTTCATAGAAATAGCCCGAAATACGAAAGAAGAATATAAGTTTAAAGTATTTCAAAGAAGTAATTTTTTAAACATTAATAGTGTTTGTCACTGCAGGAATAAATACAAAAACAAGGATAGAAAATTCAATCCATATCCAACTGACACAGGCATAAAAAACCAAGGTCTTCAAATAAGACTCTCATCCTACAAGCAAACAGTTGAATATCAAAGGATATCAAGATGTATTACAATCCACAATAACATAGTAGAGGTGATATGGGCACTGTAGGTCTGCATTTGTGCTACAGTGCTTTTAGCCAAACCACAAAAGTAACAATCAAAACTGGTTATTATACATAAGAAAATTCAGATCAAGTAAAATGAGTTCAGGGAATATTTTAACACACAGTGTGTGCTGTCTTTCACTGCATTTCAGTTTAAAATAATCATCAGCTTATTGATGCCTGATATTTTGTATTCTGATATTTAATGCTTGTTTATTGTACTCTGACAACAAGCACTAAACATCATTTCCACAAAAGCAAAAGGCAGATTGGGAACTCCATGATTTACTGCAGTGGAATCAGTAAACAATCTTCATCTGGGTATTTCCTTAAAAATCCACTGTAGAGCTAATAACTTACAAATGAAAAGAATTTCAAGGCACTGAGTGGAAACTGAATAACTAATTATGCATAAAGTAAATCAACATAAAATTTACTAGTGACATGGCTCTTATCATGGCATGTTGACAAACAAAATTCTAACTGCCAAAAAGAATTTGTACCTGAAGTTTATACCTAAGCATTGCATTGACAGTCAACCCATATGGACAGATTAAGTGCTGAAGTACTTTGGAAAGAACAGTTGAGCATATGGATTAAGTAAAAGATAAATTTTATTCCAGCCTTAATGGCATCAAAATCTGAATTAATTTTAAATGTCAATAATCAGATTATACAGACTGGTTCAGTTCAGCTCATATTAGTCCTCAACTATTGATGGAACTGATGTTAGACAACTTGTATGCATAATCAAGTGTAATTTTTACCTGCACAAGTTTTATTTGATTCATCTTCATTATTACCACAATCATTGGCTCCATCACAAAGCCACCTCTTGGGAATGCAGCGATTATTTTGGCACTTAAACTGATCATCAGGACAACTATGATTGACTGTGGAGGAAAAAAAAAAAAGAAAAAGAGAGTTTTTTCCTAAGAAAATAATCTGAAAAAAGTAGCTGAAAAGAGTACATTAAGTGGTATTTCCTGGTAATGCAGTTAGAGAAGTTATCCTGTATATATAACCACCATAACATAAAAATTGTTTGACAAACCAGTCAATTAAAAAACATTGCAGTGCTCCAATCATAAATTAAGCAATATACAGTAAAGATTCTTCTGTCATACTACTGCCAACATGGAGATCCTCTTCTATTAAGTGATAAAAGGTAGCAGCATTTTATATTTTACTATCTCCTTAAATAAACATGTCCTTGGTCACATTTTAGCAGTGTTATGAGGTTTGCTAACTGAAATGCATATAAACAAAGGAAAGCACCAAAGGGAACAGATGCAAACTGCTAAGTGCATATCCAAAATACTATACCACAGTGAGGAGGGATTTGGGCAGGCCATAAAATGCTTCTAAAATGATGCACATTACTGTCAATGGCCACATATAGATCTGCTGTTTACTTACCATGAAATTGTAGGTGTCAAAAAGTGAAATATGCAACACAGTGTAAAACTAACAAAAAAGTCCTTGGTATTCAAAAGTGAACAAGGTATCTCTCAAACATTTTTTTGCTGGTTCTACCAAGTATCGTGGAAAGGATGAAGACTGAACACACAGAAATCATGTCAAAACTATTGGCCCGTTGTTGCACCTGTAGCAAGTGTATATGTTGTGTTTCTTTTATGCTAATAACATCTGTTATTACCATATCTTGTTAATCTTCATCTAGACAAGAGCAGTAAACTACACACAGCTTCAAATGCTGGGTTAAAAATAATCTCAAGCTATTTTTCACCTACTCAGCCAACCACAGTCTTTTCTAAAGTTTAACATACATCTGGAAACAAACGGTATTTAAAATGAAAGGATGTCTTGCAGGCTTATCCTTGACATTTCAGTAGCTTTTATCTTTGACCTTTCTACCTGTTCTTCCTATTGAAGACGACACAGAGCAAGGGTGATATCAATAACACATGACCCTTCATGAGTGTTTTGGGTGCAGGGTACAGAAACACTGCAAGTAGAGAATAATTAATAACACAAGCAGAAAGGTGTTCCAAATCTAATACTCCTGAAGAAATCTAGTTTGTAATGTGACTGGAGAACAAAACTCTTAGCATCCACGTAATAAAATTACAAACTGAAGACTTTTTTTTTAATTTGACTTTATTACTAGACACAGATACTGTTTTAAGTGGTAGTTAAGCTTTCGCACACAGATATTTAGTAATATATGTCTGTATTCTATTCATAATTGTAAATATTTCAAACTCATAAAGAACTAATAAAGTTACTATAGCAACTGCTGAAGAGAGATCAATGTTATCATACTGGCCACATGAGCTATAGATCATGTATGGATTTAAGATCAGACTATGATTTCATTTGTATCTGCATAAATCCTCAGAGAATTACAAGCTTTGATCAATGAATTGGTCTCATTAGACTGATATAATACAGAATCAAGTCCTATCTGCCAAAAGATTTTCCTTCTCTCTGTCTTTATTAGCTGAGCTCCCTAATTTAAGTGCAAGAAACCCAGTATTAAAAATGCTAGTAACCACTACAATTCAAAACCCAAAAAATATTTTGAAAATAACTAGGATAGAATCAGTAATGACTTCTAGACAGAACTATCAAAATACATAAATGCTTTGAGAAAACCCCAAAACTGACTATTTAAAGACATATATAAAAAGATCTAGGCGTTACAGCTCAGTATGTATCAGTAACATCAGACCAGTGGGAAGCAGGCAAGATTTACCCAAGGATGTATGAGCAAACTCACACAACACATTCTCTCAGCCTAATTGGCTTCACAAAAGCCTCAGCAGAAGAACATACATCCATTTTTGGACATCCAACCCCTAGAATCAAGTCAGAAAAATCAATGAAACTTGAAAAAAACCCTCATCATCTACTGGGAAAAAAAAAAAAAAAACAACCCAGAAACAAACTACCAGATTGTTTGGTCTCAAAGAGATAAGAATGAGAGACTGTGATAAGAGTTTTCAGACACATAGAACAATGCTGCACAGCAGAAGAGTGTTCATATCTACAGCTGATTGGGGAAAAAACAATGTATTTTCATTTCAGTAAAGGAGACTTGCTTTAGAGAAATGATCTAATGACAGAAACAGAAAGCATTGCAACAAATTGAGTAAGGGAAAGAATTGTCATTGCTGCAACACTAATTTTAAAGCAGGCTACCTACGTACCTTCCAGGAATGACAGAAATACATAATTGATATGTTCTCTATTACTTTCCTTTTCAACAGTGGAACTCCTCTACTGCAAAAAAATACAGCTCCAGTAAAACTAATTTGAAAGACAAACTACATCTAATTTAAAACTGGAAGTGGTGTAGGGAGTTGGGTTTTGGTTTTGTTATTGTTTTTTCTTGGTGGGGTTTTTGTGGGTTTTTTTGTTGTTGGTTGGTTGGTTGGTTTGTTGGTTTGAGTATTCTTTTATTGTTTTTTTGTTTGTTTGGGGGTTTTTTGCCTTTTTTGTTGTTGTTGTTGTTGTTGTTTTTGTTTGGGGTTTTTTGGTTTTTTGTTGTTTGTTTTGTTTTTTTAATAAATGCATTCCAGTATCACAAAAATGTTCATGCTTGAAAGGGAACTGCTGAGATCACTAAGTCTAATCTCCTGCTCAAGCAGAGCAGGTTCCCAGGACCACGTGCATATAAGTGTTGAGCATCTCCACAGACAGAAACTCCACAACCTTTCTGGGCAATCTTTTCCAGTGTTTGACTACACTCACAGAAAAGAAGTGTTTTCTTTCAGATGTTCAGATCTGTGCTCAGATAAAATTCATGCTTTTCAGTTTGTGTCCATTACCTCTTGTCCTGCTGTGGACACTAAGGAGAAAAGCCTGGCCTCCTGTTCCCTGCCATTGGGTATTATATTGTGACCCATATAAAAAAAGGGCAACAGTGGGAAACAAAGTAAAAAATACGAACATTTAAAAAATCAGATACGATGATGTCAAAACCAAAAGCTGATTGGTCTTCTATGCTATGAAATGACTACATGAGTGTCATTTGAAAGGACTGCTATGCATGAAAAAAAAGAATATGAAAGATTTACATGAGTGACTTAAGTATTAGCTCTTTTGATTCCCTTCAGACTTTTGTCCAATTTTTAAAAGAAACTATGGATTGTGGGTTAAAATGTAAATGCATACATACAGCAGATTTCAGAGTGTTCATCACTGCCATCCAGACAGTCGTCGTCCCCATCGCAGCGCCAGCGATCCTGGATACACCGTTTATTGCTGCACTGGAACTGCTCAGCTTTGCACAACTGGGGTGGTACTTCTTCATCTTTAACTAGGAAAAATATCGAAGAAACACATCTACTTTATCTGCTTGATACATATGCAGTGCAATACTACCTTTATATAATTCTTGTTTTTGCTCTTCAGAACATTTCTAAGTAAACTTGGCATATTTGAGGTAATTCCACCTGAAGCTTGTAGCAGCTCACATATCTGAGTGCATGGTTGAAGTAATATATTTTTAATAAATGGAAAGAACTCAGAATAGAACGGCACTCAAACTGTTTTTTAAATTGCTGCTTAGAAGATAGTGTAAAAATACCAGTTTAAAATATTACAATACCTCAGCAACAGCAGAAGGAATATATTCTTACAGACATTGACCAAATTCTGGTGCATATTTGGGGCTAGAAAATGATTACTGAAAAGCTGAATCTTGTATCCAAGCAACAACTCAAACACCTGCATTATGCACTGGTACAGGCTCAGAAAAGAAGAAAGGATAAAATTCTGCTGGGGTAGAATTAAGTAGCAAGCTACAGGCTTATTGATAAATCCAGACAGTTATATTTCTCAACATCAGGTTCAGAATGCTTAATGTGCAAATACCACATATAAGTCTATGACCCGGTGAGGAACACCAAAATCCTTGGAAAGAGCCAGGCAGAGAAGTGTATTGGGGAAAAAACTAGGAAACCTGAGTCATTCTCATCTCAGTCTCCCTACATTCCATCTTACCAGTGAGAAGTCCAACTTCCAGTATTTTCTGTTAAAAAAGAAAAGTAGTTTTCTTTAGCAACAGTGATGGCTCTGCCAGCCATGAATTTGGGTCAAATTCAAGGTCACTGCCAGCTCAATAATGCTCATCATGGTATGAAATAATCCTTATGCTTTATTCATCTCTACTGCACTTCTTGCTGGAGACTTATGTAAGACTTTACACACTACACTTCAAGAAATAGATCAACAAGATTTAGGGGAAAAAAAAGCGAGTATCAGGTCTAAACATTAAGAAAAACCACCTGTAGTACCTGACAAGTTATTTTTTTTACTTAAAAAAATCCAACCTTTTACTATAACACTTTTTTTAATGTTTGTTTCAATGAATATATCCAAGGAAGAGATGAAAAAAAGACACCAAATTTGCACAGCCTGTGTCAGAATCTATTATACAGAAATACATCTGCTTTACATGTTTTATGAACAGTTTCAGCATAAACATTGTAATGTCGGACTTCAACTTAGTTCATAGAATAATCTGAAACCTTTATATAGATTTAATATAATAATTATATGGATTAATTTAGGACATTTTTAAAAGCAGTTCAGTGAAATATTTAAGTGCTTTATCATATTAGACATTCTGAAATATATTCCAGTGCATTTTATCCTCACATATTGTGTACTTAATATTCTGTCTTCTTTGAAAAATCTTTATTATATTTAATAAACTGTCTTCAACTAGAATCTTTATCCAAGGAATATTTCTTTATCTTAGAGAACCTCTAGGAGGCCACACTTCCTTGTTTTATTTTTTAGGTCTGACTTAATCCCTTAACATCAGCATCAACTTAGATGTTCTTTAGCAATCTTACTCATGCAGGTTGTACTGTTTTCTTCCAAAAGCTGATTATCAGCACAGGCACAAACTCTGCCTCCAGGAATGGCCAAACACAGAGTGCTGCAGCCTCCATTATTAACACGACATGCATTGTCACCTGAGAGAAATAAAAAAAAAGGCAACTTTAAAACCAACAGCCATGCTAGAACTAGATGATTTTTTATTTATTTTTTCTTTCAACAACAAAAGCATAGGAAGAATTTTTTACAATTATTTTCCTCTCATTTCAGGGATGTATTATTCTCATAGTTTGGTTACTGCAGGTTATAATACTTAAACATATTTTGCTACAGGTTGTAATACTCTGTAATAATAAAAACCACATAAAAAAAGCCCTGCACCATCAACCCATAACATTCTATCACTGTTTTTTAGGAGGGGAAAAAATACCGCAAAATATTTGACACAGCTACATGCACATAGTGCTTTCAAGAAATCAAACAGTATATAAAGGAATGTTCTGAAGTTAACTGGCATGTGCACATGTTAAAACAATGTGACTGCAAAAACAGACTAAGTGAAAAACAGAAAAAAGAAAGGAAGCAAATTAAAAGCTTAAAATGAGATCTAGAGCAGATAGAACACAGGCAAAAATGCCACTACTCTTTTCTGAGCACACCTGCTATTTCTTTGCTTTCTTTTTCCCTGTTAATGTTTCTTCCCAAGAGCTGTGCACTGTTCACACGAAGATGTTGACAGCTGTCAGGTGTTTTAATCATCTACCATGGGCTGCTGCATTCCCACCACCTCACTCCTTAGGCAGACTCAAAACCACTGAAAGCCCACTAAAGCAAATGTTACAATTTCTGTTTGTGTCACTTTGGTCATGACCTAATTGCTTAGATATGCACTGCTGAGGACATCCAACTTGCCAGGATCAAAGCTCTGCTAGTGATAAGTGACTGTGATCAAGCAAGTTATAAAATTTCATGTCTGCTGAACCTTTAAATTAAAACAACTTTTTTCCATCTTCCTGTTCTGGTAAGAAGCAGGTGCTCCTCTCCCTGTTCCTCTTCTGGTGCACAAAACACTCATCAGCTTCCTGAGTTAAAACAGACTCCACACAACTCCCTCTCCTCAGAGCGCCATCACTTCATTTTTCATGGAAAATATAATATTATGTTCACATAGATGTGGCTGTGAACATGAATATTAACTGTCCTGTCAGAACCATAGCTGTATGTGCAGGGAAATCTTTTCAAATTATCAAATGAACATCAGATAACCGCAAATAATTCAAGAATTTGAAAATTTTCAAATTTTAAGATGAACCCTGGTATGTCTTACCGTACAGTAATACTTACTAACCTTTTCTTATACCTTTTTCTGACCCCTCATACATCCTTTCTTAGATGAAAATGTGTCTACAGTCTGTTAAAAACCCACTGAACTTCCAAATAAATCTGTGCAAAATGATTAATAGAGAACACTGTGAAAAGCCACTGTGGCCATTGGGAGAGAGGGAGAAGGCAAGAACACAGCTGTATAAACAGGAAAAATGGGAATTCTCTATGAAGTGTGAGGGCTGGATCACAGTTTTAGATAGAGTAGTTCCAAATTAGACTGGGCATTTTATATACATTATTGGATCTTGACTTCATGTCTTAGATTATGGCCTGAATCACTACAAAAATCAACTCCTTCATTACATATGTGCTCACCAAAGCCTAAATAATTGAAAATACATCAGAAGAGTAAGAGATGTGTTTGATTCTGAATTTTGGAAAAACACAGGTAAAACACAGTCTCAGAAAAAGTAGCCTTGAAACTCTCTACATCTTTACAGAGCCACCCACTGTACAAACCAAAGGATGTCAGTAACACAAAGATTTAAAAAGTTATCAGAAGCTGCCAAAAGAAACAACTCAAAATATAATCTTCAGAAGTGAATCCAAAATTATATAGCACAAATCAAGGAAATTTGAAGTGATTTAATTAAAGAATGCACACGTGTTTGTCATTTCACTCAAAAAGAATAAGCCTAAAGAATAAAAGACTAAATCAGACAAATACAGAAAATGTATTGAATAGTCATGATGATTCTGAAGCCCAATGAAAGCTTAAAATAAATAACATAAAAATTAAAACACCTGATCAAAGTCAGCTGCTCCTTCTTGAAGATAAAAGTTCCTACTTCATAATTGGGATGACAAACTACAGCTCAGTAGGTTACTTGCAAAGTAAGTGATAAAAGAGAGGATGATGACAAGGAAAATGGAACTACCAAGAGTTAAAGCAAAGAGATCCTAGATAAAAAGGTTTATAAAGTGAAGTCTTCAACCTAAAGGTGCAATGAGATCTTCAGTCCAATCAGTCTTGATGAAGAGGCTCCTAGGCTAAGATGTCTCCCAAAATGCAGTTCAAATAGGTTAAACCTCCTTATTGAACAAGCTGTGGAACTTTTAAAGCTACCAAGTGCTTAGGAAATTAAATTTCCTCAACTACTGTTCATAACAGCTACTTTGTATGGGTGTTCTTAAAATAGTCCCAAAAATTTTAAAATACTTTCAAAGCTATTATCACATTTTTCATATTTTGACAGCTTTTAAAACAGCTGCTGCCCTGACAATTACATGTGACTAAAATTAGGCTGATTTCATTTTAATTAGCTAAAAATTAGGCCAGAGCTAAAAAAAACCCAATGTAATTGTATCTCAGTCATCGTTCTCAGAAAAAAAAAAAAAGTATGGCAACCGTACACATTTGTTTAATCTTCTCATTTAAAAGATACACTGAAGTATTTATTGCATTTGTACCTGCCTATAAAAATAAGCTCAAGTGCCGTTGAAGTTGTGTAAGCACACCTAGGATCATACCAGAAACATGAAGAGCAGCAGACTGGGGCTCAAGCAGCTCTTTGCAATATGAGGAGTTAAAATATGAACTGATTTCAAAAGAGGCTATTTTAACTGCTGTAAATGCACTTACACGAGAATTATTTACATATAAGTAGCAATCTCCCCTTTTACTGCAGTGCAAATATCCACAGGCTTGGCAGACTCATATGCTGACTATAAATCTAACTCCTATGACCCTTTGGGTCTCTCATAGAGACCCAAAGACTAAGCCTAAGAAAGCAAGGTGAATTCTAATCTCCAAAAGCAAGAAAAAAAACCCATTCCTCCACAAGAGGATCACGTCTCAAGAGATACAGAGACAGTGAAAAACAACTCTCCTCAAGGATGTACCAAAAGCTTTATCTCACCACACAAAGTGCAAAGCAAAACAGGATTGGCACAGTCAAGTATCCTGTAAAAGACCCCCTAATAAAAATGCCAGTCTCAATTCAACTATGCCAAAATAGATTGACATGGTTTTTGCTTGTGTAGACAGTGACAATACCAGTAACATCAAAACAGTAACCTCAAAACATGAGAGTTAAATATTTCTAAGGTATGTGCATGTAAGCTATAAAATATAATTCATAGCATAAAATTTACTATGGTTTTCTCTGTACCACGTGATCCAGCCTTGATCTTGCTCTTTCAGAAGAAACACACAAACAACAACAACAACAAAAAAAAAAAGAGGGGGGGAGTCTTGACTTTTTTAAAAACAAATGTTTATGCTCCTTCGGGAGTAATTCAATATCAGTCTCACTGAATATGACAAAAAGGGAAGATCCTAAAGGCTGCTGTTAACTAACAAAATTCCAATTTCAATTTCAAACAAAGAATGTATTAATGGGCAAAATTCTCTCCCCTAAGACTTAAGCTCATTCAGCAAAAATGTCTAAGAGGTAGTACTTTCTCTCCCTGGTGCCAGCTTATTTGGAGCTAATAGCAATTGCATTAATTTTTAAATGTCCCTTTTTTCGAAAAAGAAAGGGAACTTCCTGAGTGTTGGCTAAAGCAGCAGAAATACCAAGTATTTAAAGCAAATAGTACATCTTCTATTAGCAGATACAATTCAAGGCATTCTGAAATTTGGTCAAGTTGAGGGTAGATTTCGGGGCAGATTTTGCACAAAAAACCCAAACCACAAAACCAACCAAACAAACAGACACCAAAAAACCAAACCAAACCAAAAAAGATGAGAAAAAAACCCCATAACAAATCCAACAACACCCCTAAATAAACTATACTTCTACATGGCTTTGAAAGTAAGAGAGAGTCCCTGAAAAGCATTTGTGATAAGGGGAATGCTGTTATAATGACCTTGACATAGCACAACAGGACTACACATACTAGTTTGGTTTAGGTATCCAAAATTTAGATATTATGGTATCAAAAAGGAGGAACTTTTAAACAGTAAATAAATAATGATCTTTTAAACAGTATTTTATTTGTACTGATTCCTGATGTTCATTTTTATGCTTGGTAGCAGACTAGAAATATTAACTAGAAATATGCTTTAACTAAAGACAGCAAATATTCAGCAACTCTTCTGAACTCTGTATGCAGTATATTGATTTCAAAGTTTTCTTTTATAAAATATGTTAGTAGGTTTACATGTGTAGTAGTAATTTCATTTTCTAAGCTCCATCCATGCAAACCTATGGCCTTTATTTCATTTCTCCACTGATACAACTATGGATTTTTCCCCCACTCTTGAAGAACTACTTACTCTTATTCTGTGCAACATACAGTGTTTCTGTAGACAAGATGTGGGAGAAAATTTAAAAAGGAAAAGACAGATGAGATCATAGATCCTGTCTAAGAAAAGGTAAATCCAATCAATATTTTATGCCTATGAGCCAACGAACACATGCTACCCATTTTATTTGATACTTTCACAGTATCTCTTGGACATACAAGAAAAATGGCAATAAAGGCAATGTAAATACCTAGAAGAAACTCAGCTGTAATGTTATGATTCACTTTCCAGTAATTGTGAGATGATCAGCTTCAACATCAGTGGATTGAAACATTGGAAAGTATCTTTGTCATGCCACAAGTCATATTTGGTTTTCTATTCTTGTTCACCTAGTCACCTCAAAATACTAAGAGACTGTAAGGAAGAAGATCCTTTTATAACAGACCTTCAGAGAAATTGTATAAGTACCTTGCTGTTTACGTGGATCATAAATCTGGAGCCCAAACAAAGGTGGTCTTTCACTTCTCAACAATGTCACATTCCTTGTAAGCAGATCCAACTGGAAAATTGACCCATTCATATAATCTGTCCAGTAAATACAATTTCCATGGTGTGATAGTCCAAAAGGATGATTCAAATCTTTTCCACTGTAGACTACCTGCAAGTAATTAGTGCTAGGTGAGCATCATTAATTATTAATTTTTCAGACAACTTAAACTGGGAACTAGAAAAGCTGAGGTAAGTACTGTGCCCAAACATAAGTTAATGCAATAAAATCAAGTAAAGAGTGCAAAGGCCTTCTGTTCACCAGCATCAACATCTAACTTCAAAAAATTTTGTATAAATTCACTGTAAGTGGCCACTGTCAGATAACACATGAAGAGGCTGCCCAGGGAAGCGGTAGAGTCCCCCGAAGGGATTTAAAAGACATGTAGATATGGTGAACTTGGCAGCTGCAGTTTGGAATGATGAGTTTCCTTCTGGCTGGGATCCTCGCTTGAACTAATTCCCAAAAGTCTATTTCTATCTTGCCTCTAGAGAGAAGGAAGCAGTTCATCAGATGCTCTACCTTGTCTCTATTTATAGACACAAACCCAAGGGAACAGGGAGATAAAGCCAACTAAAAATACAACTACTTTGAGGTGACAAACATAGTTCCCTTTAGTCCTTCAAATTTTCTTTTTGGGCTTGGAATCCTTTTGGTCAGAACTCCCCATCTCAGTGAAATGTTTTTGATCAAAATGCATCAATCAGTCAAAAATCCACCAGCTACTGGTGGAATTAAGGACCTCCCCATCCCCCCAAATCTTCACTATACTGACACAGAATAAAACATGTGATTGATCCGGTTAACTGTAGGATATTTTGGTTAAAATTTAACAATTAATGATTCAGCATCAAAAGCAAGTATCTTCCAGTTATTTTTTGCTACATAGATTTTATTCAAGTAGTTATGCATTTTATTTATATCCCAGGATTACAGAAAAACACTTTTCAAAAGAAACCAGAATCATTCTGTGACACACTTAAAAATAAAACCTGTAAAGACAGGTGCTTCTTATTATTCACCAGTCATCAGTTTCATGAAGCAGATGGTAAACCTTTCTTAAATTATCAGACTTCACTCTAAGCTTTAACCATTTTTGAGATGTTTTGTTCTGTGTTTGTTACTTCCACAGAGCAACACAGAACCTCTACACAGACTTGTATTTAGCTAGAATAGGCAAAAAAATAGGCAAAATAGGCAAAAACTAGAGCAATCTGTCTCCCTCTTACCTCCATTTGTTGACTGCTGCCATTCTGCACATTACCACAAATGCTCAAGCAGGGTATTGAGATTCATCAAAACCAGCTTATCAAGTTAAATAAAAGCCTCTCTCTGGCAGAGCCAAAAAATGGTTTTTTCCTACTAAAAAGCTCTTCGTACCTTGATTTGAGTTTCTTATGGCCTAATCAAAACACAAATCATTGTCACACAAGAAAAATAGATTTTTTAAAAAATAACAATTAAGTTTAGCACCACTTACTGGAGATGAAAATTTTAAACTGCATTACAGCCTCTCACAGGAGAATGCCAACATCACCTGCTTCAGCAGAGATGATGCTGGACATGCCTCAGGGTTATGGAGACATTAAAAACCTTGAGAAGTATTTTTAACATAGCACAATAAAATCCGGGGAAAGAGCCTGCCTGTGGCAAAAACAGCAGTATTTTTCTTTTACCTTCCTGTCAGTTCCATTCAAAAATATCCTTTCAATGTGATCATAATAGGCATCACACCAGTACAACACATTGGCACGATAGTCCAGAGTTAAACCATTTGGCCACAACATCTTTGATGTTACAAAAATCTGCCGACTGTAGCCGTCCATCCAGGCCTTCTCAATCCTTCCCACACTGGCATCTATTTCATCTTCTTCCCAGTCTGTCCAATACATCCACCTATTAAGTTATAAATACACAAAAACTCAGATACCATTTTAATCATGTGAATAATATTGCATTTTTAGCAACAGTTCATCCCCCAGCCAGAACGATTTTGACTTTGGCATGTTTCTCTCCATTGCTGTTTCTACAACTGTATTTACTCTCCCTGTGTAGTGGATGTTGCTGAAGTGACACTTGTGTAGTTTTGCTTGTATTGTGATGAATTACACAAATATCAAATGGGTCAATAGCCAAGAAAGTGAGAGAATTCCTGAAGACCTTATTTAATCCCACCAGGATTATGATTTTTTTTTCCTTAAACACTTTACCACAAAGTTCAAACTTTTGCAGTGAGGTTTTTTTTGGCCTAGTCTAACTTGCTTTTATGATGTAAATCTGATTTTTATTATGTTTAATACTATGAAAAAAGTTGCACTACATTAATTAATTGCACTCTATCTTAGGAGCTACCTGGCAAGGGATAACCTTGACATTCTGTGAACTTCAGATTCCACATGAAAGCAGCCAAATTTCTCAGAAAACTATTATGAGCACTTTGTCCATCACAAAAATGTTTAGAGATATTTGCTGTAAAAAGTAGTTGGAAAATAGCTAGTAGGCAATTTTAACATAGTTTCATGGTTTATAGTGCAGCACTGTAGATTAAAAAAAACAAACCTCTGACAAATAGGCACCTTTCCTACTTTGGAAAAGTTAAGCAAGATTCTATTAAGGAATCTACAATATTGGCTCAGATGAGTTCTATGAGCTATTCTCTACTGGACACTACAGAATACATCCTAAATATTTTTTCATTATTGAATTAATCTGATTATTATATTTTTATTACAGAATTTGCTGGTGAAAACTGTGATTTCAACAATTTAAAATACACGACTTGAACTTTTAAAAGGATTGTACAGGATTTCAGTTATTAAGTATTAAACAGAGGAAAGACATCACACCAATCCAAAATGGATCCTCTTTGTTCAAGCTGAATTATTTAATTGGGACTGATGTGCCTCACCTTTTATTTGCCCAGGTTTACATTTCTGAAATAACTTCTGTGATCCTAACACACTTACTGGGTCTGTACTTTGAAGAATGGAATTTAAATTCTGAATTTACAAAGGAATGAACCACTGAAGTGAAAAATTATTTTGTTATCAAATCTGTGTATATGATACCAACTGGTAAAAAATTTTAATCAAATACACTTCTGTATAATCATAATTTGATTTTTATTTTACAGAAGGAACAGGGGAAAAATAAAGAAAAATCACACCATCGTTACACAGGTTTGCAGATATTCAAATGTAGTTTTTGGTTGTTTGTTCTTTTTTCCCCCCCTCATCTTTTTCGAGTCATCCACCGGAAGGTTATTTTGGGTTCCTTTAATGTTTTGGTAAATATATGCTAAGAACATCAGTCAATTTTTGATCCATGAGCCTCATAAACTTTGTTGTATATTTGACTGAAATAACTAGGTTTAATCACAGAGTTATAAAGCCTGCATATGTCCTGAAGCTCAGGCAGATGCAGGTCAATATGGTACTTATTTTACTGGAAGACAAAATATGTTTTACAAATATTTACATGAATGCTCAACAGCAATTACTGAGCTTTTCTCCATTAACTTTTTGTCTGTACTTATTCTAGTTATCTTGTCATAAGCTAAGACACGCTTACAGTAACAGACATTTACATCAATGTGCTTTAATTGTATCTCAAAACGCAGTTAATGCTTCTACACTGGTTGAATCAAGACCAAAATAGTTGAAACATAATTAAAATGCCATAATAAATGCTATCCCTCAGGAAGAGCTTCCATGAGAAATATAATCATGAAGGACATGCTATTTTATCAGGAAAGTGTTTTATATAATAGCTCTTTTCAGACAATATATCTTCATACACTATTTCATGTGCCACGTATCTACTGAGCTGAAAAATTTAACAAAGTAATTGTAGGTGTGGTTACGGTTCGTGGTCTGATTTTATACCTTTACTATCTGACCTTAATGAATTGTAGCCTTTCCACAGTCACTTCCACTCAAAGACAAGCTCAAAACAGAAAACCTGGTAGTGTAAATATTTTCTAGTAATAGGAAAACAGCAGTCAATCCAGCCACGCAAAAACTACCCACCTACATTGTTCTCTAGCAACAATTCCCTGAATAAATCTAACAGTGAATTCCTAAGTAAACCACAACTATACCACATTAATTTAATGTTCTTTTTATTATGCAGCCTATCAAAACTAATTATGCTAATAAGTAATGAAAAGTACCTGTCTCATTTAGTTTTGTAAAACAACGTGTACAAGGATATGGGCATAATTATCTTCAGAAGCTGAGACTTACAAGGAGAGAAATAAAGAAGAGCCTCATAAAGTTCACTTAATATTAAAAATTCATGCAGGTCTTACACACTCAATTTGTTTGAGAAAAAGGTGAATCACATTGAGCTTAACAGGACAGACATTTAGTGGTGACTGAGTAGAAATGTTCTTCTGATAGCTTTGGGCAAGAATACTGGACAGGAATTACAGATATTATAGACTCCTGGAGAGTTCCAGATTATGACATGACTCTACAAACATCATCCTAAGCAAATTCACTTCTGTATTTATACTATAAAGACAATCATTAAACAAAAATCAGTTTGCTTCATACCCATTGACAGGATCAACAACAATTCCTCTAGGGTGGGACATGTCTCCCTCCAACAAAGTTTTTCTACTCTGAGCAGCTTTTTCTAGTCTGGCGACAGCAATTGTTTTCCTGTGGCCATCATTTGTCCAATAAAGATTATTTCCAATCCAATCCACTGCTATGCCTTCTACATTATCAAGATCTGTTGAGAGAGATAAGACAGCAGTAAGAGATTAATATTATTTATGTTCTAACATTATCCATTAATATAAACAATGGACATGATACAGTCCATACACGCAAATTAGATTATTTCTTTGAATCTGAATCACATCTGATGTGTCTGTCAATATTAGTCTCTGCTAAAGGTACTCCACAAAAAACACTAGTCATGCAACTTGTGTATTAAACTGTAAGTCTTCATATGTTAACCACAGGTGGGCCTGGGAAAATCACTATTTAATAAAATCCTACTTAATTTTAACCTTAAATAGAATTAACACTCAAATCAAGCACAGCTTCCAGGATCAGCTCTAGTACTCTAAATTACCTTGCTTTTACCTAAATCAAAAGTTTCATTCTTTTTTAAAAAAAAAAAAAATAGGCAAAATGGGCATTCAATGAGCATTTGTTCCATTGTCTCTAGACTGTACAAAACACCACAGCCCAAGTTGCTCCCCATAGCTTCGTGCATGAGCAAACTGCTCCCAGGCTGAACGATACACGAGTAAAGAGCAAGTGGATGTACTGATGGGCTCAGGAGTTTGACAGTGGCAGGGCTCCATCCACAACAAAAATGAGTTAACAGCCCTCCTGGTAGACCCGTGGAGGTTCCCATATTTGAGAAGCAGTAAAACAGTGCCCCGAGAAACAAGATTTCTCTCAGACTTACCCAAGGCTTTGCCGCTTCCCACATTATCCCAATTCCTTAACTGACAGCATAGGGTCTCTAAAAAGTTTTCCAGCTCTATTCTATCATGTCCTTTGCCTTTTCTTTCAGGAAGGTCTCAAAGTCCAGGTGCGTGGGGTGAGATATGGAGAATTTTAGTCATTCTCTCCTGTCCTTTGCAGTGCTGTGAAGGCTGAGGCACAGCCCAGCTTTAGGCAGCACCTTTGCCAGGCAGCTGATCCCTAACCAGCCCTCTGGACAGTGCACAAGGCTGTTGCAGTAAAAATAACTGATAACAACTTGAAGTGTCGAAAACCAGCTCCTTCTGGTGTGGTCACTCCCCTTCCACAGGTTGATCCTGCCGTTTTCCAGGAACTATCAGAGGCACAGTGACACTGGGGGGAGTGACAGAGCGCAAGCACCACACCAGTGACACCACATGTCCCAGCCCCTCTCCCTAACCTGTACACAAGCTCCAACAGCCCAGCACAGCCTGGGGACACTCATTTAACTATTATCATCTGGGTTAAACAGGATAATGGGGTAACAGCCAACAGCTGTGGCTGAAGGGCTGCCCCCAAGCCTGAGAGCTCACAGCACCCAACTGGTGCCTCCCTTTGTGGTGATAAAAAAGGAGGTCAGTAGGGCTGAAAAGGTAAAAAAAATTCCACCAACCAACCACACACTAAAACTCCTACTCACTACTATGCTGTTTCTCAACAATGCACACTGTATTACTTTTTTGTCATCCTCAGATGCACAATCCTACAGCACAATTTCAGTGACAGGAATCATCAAGACTTAAAAAAAAAAGAATGTAAATTGCTTTCTCTGTTCATGTCTACACTAGTAAGGACATCTAGATGCAATCTTTCATCAGACTGGTTCTTTCTCACCGGTGCTGGTGTCGCTTTCTGATCAAAACTATAATCTTTTTGAAAGATTTCTCAGAACAAATGTGCTGCGGAGAGATTTTCCTCCCAGTGTACATAAAAAATCATTATATTACTACTTTTCAGGAAATTTTTATATGACCAAATCACTGATCCTACTTGAACCTCATTTACACCAAATGCACCCGTGAAAATTTGTTAAACTGAACACACCTGTTAACAATCTGAGCTGAGCTGCCAGACATATAATTTACCTGTCAGCTTTCCAGACAAGAACTTCATATAAAGTCCTAGAGTGCTAGTTTGGGACATTTCAAGTTTTTATCAGTTATTTTTACTGCAGAAGCATTATGTTGTCACCCTCAGCTTTCTCCACCAAAATTCTTCCCCACAATGCAGTCAGTAAGTACTAACAGAAAGGTCTTGCTAACGTTAGCAACTTCAGCACACCTACAAATTTTCCTTTGTGAGATCTCAGATGTATTTTCCTCGAGACAAACTCCTCACCCAGAATATTTTTTAGACCCCAAACACCTTTACTGACCATGTCTCAAATAAACTATCTCATTCCTTACAATAAATTGGTACAATTATTTCTGATGCACTGGAATGCAAAGCTCTTTGACCAAGTCACAGTCTACTTAGTATAGCACAGAAAACCTTTGGCTTACTACAGCCCATAGATAACCTATGGTATGCCAGCAACACACTAAGATAAAATATGACAGTTTTGCTCATACAATGAAATATTGTGCTTTTTATGCACTTGGATGCATTAACAGCATCTATAAAAGATGCTGTTTCAATCTCAATAGCACTGCAACATGATAAATTACTTTGGTGTTTTTGTTGAACAATGTTTTTTAGTGATTGTAATACCATCATATTATAGCCCCTCTTAAGTTAGGAGAGCTGTAATGTTTTCAAATACCTTGTCATTGCAAAACTTTTCCTTTTTTATTTTTATAACAATTTCCCTTTAAAAAGAAGCGAAACGCATTTCAACATAATGTTAAAGTCTATTAAAATTATGATATAACTTGCATTGTACACTAAAATTTAAAAATAACAAGCATAACCCTTATTGAGAGAGATAAAAATAACCATTACGAAGAGAGATAATTCAGACAGCATGCTTTCAATTTTTTAAAACAGAAAACTAAAGAAGCTGAGGGCTACTGGAATTCATAGTGTGATAGCCGTGTCATATTTTTAAAATTGCCTTTTTCCCTTAGTGGTACACTCTGTCTGGGCACATGGCAGTGAACAACAGTAGAGATGAATAAAGACAAATATGAAGATTATATATATGTTTAGTACATTAAATGAAGGAAATTCTTGACAACAACATAGAAAATAACTGAAAAATCAGTTTAGTTGTACTGAAAAGTCAGCAAGGCCTAGAACAGTTCAGGATTCTTTCGAGCTTTAATGATGTCTGTAACTCCAAATGTGCAATCATCCTACTCCAGGCATATTGCTTATGTTAAATTAAACATCATGGAGATGTACATATATATATGTTTATAAAACTGTGATGTATTTTACAATTGCTAGGTTTTGTTTGTTGCTTTCTTTACTTTACTCCAAAGTACAATCTACCACCTGCAGGATTTTAATTGTAATTGGACCTCCCTTTCTTTATATCAAATTAACCTGAAAAGTCCAAAAGATATTACAGATATTTGGTACCCAGTAAAGTTATCAACTAAACCTTGTTCACTTAAGAAACTAGACCTAAATTTAGTAAATTGCTCGTGGGTATAGAGATGACAGTACATCCTGTGAGACACAATGTAAGAAAGTTATGGGGAAAAAAAAGGAGAGGTTTTCAAAACGTGTTTTAACATTATTATCCATATTCCTGATACACCTAAACATCACTGTACTTTCGGGGAACTATTTTAACTTGTGATCTAAGGAGCTTGAGGGAAGCAATGGTGTCAAAATGCACCCTGCAGGATATGAAACAACAGTATGATGACATATCTAACCCAGCAACCACCCAGTCTGACAAGAATCACCCCAAGTTCAGAACAGCCGAGGGTCAGTCGGTGTCTGAGATCAGTGCCAGCAGCTCAGCCAGGTTTCCCAGGCTGATGGACACTGCCAGTTTTATTTTCAGTCTCTCAGTGTCTTTGCTACATTCTTTTGAAAAGAAAATGTCAGAGCCAGTTGGAACTTTCTGAGAGTGGAGAGTGGCCTTTGGTCTTGGAGTGAACATGTATGTTGAGAAAAGTGCAAAATATGGAAGAGAAAAGAACAGAGTGTTTCACCAAGGACCTGGATCGCAAGGCTTACGGAGAAAATCTGAGCAGACCAGGCAGCAGAGACAAACCTCAGCTGTGAAAGAAATGTCCTTTAAAGCTCTGAGGGGTCTCAGCAAGTTTTTTCCAACTCAAGAAAACACCAACATGACTAAAATCAAGCTTGAAGACAAGGTGTTCAAAACGTATTTTATTTTTATTCCATCTCACCCTGTCATTTTGGGCTAAACAGAGTTTTTATACTAATAAGATCAGCTTTTTAATGAAAGTGGTTTGCTTTATTTCCTTCCTTGGGAGACAAAACAGTGCAAATATGGACTCCACTGGTATCAATAGAAAAACTAAGTTTAGATTAGAGTGTTAGATACCTCCTAAAATTTACAAGCCTATTGCTCCAAACCTATTCAGGTTCACACAACAGCTACTGCATTTGAGCTACCACACCTTCTGTGGGATTTATGGAGCATATGTGTTTCTAAACTAAATAGAATCCAAGTCAAAAAAACTCACGTTAACTAGATTCTAAATATATCAGGAAGTTTAAAAATAAAGGAGATTTTTACAGCACAATCTTATAGAGGCAAATTTCATTATTTTTGTGAAGCTATTGTTTAAAGTTCACTTTTATTTCACTATCTAAAATCTTTAAATGCATTCCTTACTTTTTAGATGGGTTTCACAACAAGTAGTAAAAGGAAGAAAATAATGGCCATTGTGGTTAAACAAAATTGATTTGACTACAGTAAACCAGTGAAGCCCTTTCAACATAAAAAGAATGAGAGAGCAAAATACCATTGTGATCATTCTTCACTTGCTAATTGAACAGTTAACATTTGTAATTCTGGAAATATTACCAGAATTTCACTATCAATAGTAGTATGTGGGTTACAAATACACTGAATATAGATACAAGATTTTTAAAAACTCATAGTTCTAGCAGCAACAATTTGCCACGCTGCTTTTAAATGTGAAACACATTATAAGCACAGTATGTAATTTGGTATAGAATAGCTTAGCTCATCAATGTCAGTTAGATCATGCACCTTAATAGTGCCTAAAATACTAGATAAACATAAAAACTGAGGAAAAAATAATTCTGCTCTATACCAACCAGCTAAACAGCATCCAAAGATCTTTACAGGCTTACTTTGGCCTTGTTTAAGCAACAGGCATCCCTTGACCATCTTTATTAGCATTTACAGTAAATAACATGTTAAGGCTCACACCAACCCCAAAAAAACCAAAGAGGGACAAAGACAAGTAGAAAACCCAAGATTTTGTATTTATGTTACATCAACTAAAGAATATTTAGATCCCTTTAAAAATGTCCGGCTTGTTCCCTTTTTTAATGTGAAAAACTGATTTTATATGCAAGTTTGAAAGCTTAATTATAACAATTTCTGTTGCTGGTGGAAGTACACAGCTCTGTCAGTTGTGCTGCCAACTCTGGCCTAGGCTGTGCTTTGGGCTATCAAACAGTTATCAATACTACCCAGCAGTTTGTTTTCCGAAGTGAAGAATACGAAATCACAGCTGAAACTATATGGGAAATCAAATTCCAGCAGTGTTAGGTGCTCAGTGATCGCAATTCCCAGTCAACAGGTGGTAGGATCAGGCTCTTGTGTAGGCAAACTGTAATTATCTGAGTTACAGTGTTGTTTGAATGAGCGTATCTGTTCTCGAAAAAACTGATAGTCAGAAAAAATGAGAACTTCTATTCTGAGAAGTTGCACCTACCACAGGCAGAAGTCCTTAGCAACATGCTGTTCAGAGCAACTATTAAACCACATCCTGACGCACCTGATTTTCTGTAGTAACCTACCACCAAGGAATGATTTAATCTGTCCCTCCTGAGTTCTTGAGACTTGACAAGAATAAAAACTGAGGTGTTACAGCTGGAGGCCATATTAATTTTTTAAGTCATGAAAAATACAGTAACAAATGTTCCTTAAACATACTTTAAAGTTATGAAACTACACCAAGTTCAAACTAACAATGTAAGCTCCCGGGGTAGGAGGGGGTGGGAGGAGGGAATGACAGTGACATTTTTTCAGCCTTTGCAAATAGCATCACCAATAATATATCATCAGAAAATCCATAACTGTTTTGGTATTGCATTAGTGGGTTTGCTATGTTGTGTGTATCTTCCTTGCTGCTATTATAATGTTTAAATCTACATATTGCCTACTCCTTCCTCTACTCCACATTTTAATTACTTTGTTGTAAAGTGAAATATGTGTTCAGTAAGGGAAAGTGAGCAGTGGAAGTTCTGTGATGTACATTATCCATTCCCATACTCGCAGTGAAATGAAGAATTACCAAACTGACAGCTGAGTATTCCTTATTTACCCAGACAGCTGCCTTTTATTAAGCAATCACGTATGCAGGGTAAAGAGTCTGTCACTGTTGCAAGGAACTGCAGCTGAAGGGATCTTTGTGAAGACTCTGAGGAGAGACCTTACACCAAAAGAGCACCATATCACTGCACAGTACAGATAACTTCTGGGAGACTGATGGATTAACACATGGGTTAAGAATGACAGGGAATGAAAAATCCCTGTGCTAAAACAATGGTCTTTTAGTTACTCTCCGTCTTGAGCTTCAATATACCAGCAAAGATATTAAGTTCTCTGAAGGCTAAGATGAATATTCATACAGTTTATTTTCTTGAGGACTATAAAATAATTACTTTAGAATGGATTTCAGCTGAGGCAGTTGCTACCTCCTGCTGAAGCAGTCCCTCAGAAAAAGGTCCATAAAGGAAGGAGAAATATGGATTGACAAACTGGAGGTTTTACCACTGCAACAGCACTTAGTATGACAAGATATGATTCTAGACCAGTGTAGTGAAAGAGGTGGAAACTGGAGAACTGCCAGTGTTTTCTCTCATTGCTATAATAAATGGTATAAATATCTTAATTAAGGTTCTATAAGATATTTAGGTGTTCCTGTTGCTTCCACATATACAATGGAAAATGCATCAAGAAAGTCAATGTTTTTTTCCCCAGTGACTTTTCAAGAGCTACGGATCGTCTCACTCTGCCAAATTACTTGAATAAGCTCCAGAATCAACACTGTGATAGAGGTTGGAGTGAAGAAGTCTTATAAAGTCCACAAGGATGTGGCATGGCTCAATAAATACCTACCTATGACACAGGAATTACTGAGTGGTGGGTACAAGCTTAATTGGACAAAGCAAGAATTCATGGCAGAGTGACTTCATCAAACTTCACATTTCTGCCCTCAGGAACAATAAACAGGAAGCTGTAAAAAGAGTATCTCCAACTCTGCTCAAGGCCTAATTTGGGTCTGTTTTCCATGGGAGATTTAAATAAAACTTTAAATTATCTGTAAACGTCAGTTCAGCTTCTCCTGAGTGGGAATCTCTGAATGTCACTATCGCTTAGCATTGCCTACCATCTTTGAGGATCGTTTCTCGCTCCGTGCCATCAATTTTCTGTCGTCCGATTAGGAAACTGGTGGTATCAGCAAAGTAAATGTAATTTGTTTCGGCGTGGAAATCCAGAGCACGAGGATTGACCAAGTTCTCTATAGGAATCATGTACTCATCAGATACTTTGGTATTCAGGTCCATTCCCCGGATTATTCCTGGGCGTCCCTTCCCATAAAAAAGAAACAATTCATTCTTTGGTCCTGCAAAAGAAAGATTAAAAACATAAACAACTGATGCTGCCTAATCTTCTTTATAGTGCATAAAGTCCCTGTTTAATTAACTGGCACAATTAGTGGGGAGTAGGAGCATTATTCGATACCAAAAATTAAACTTTCATATATTCTGGAGGTATCTAAACTCAAAAAATCCAGATAATTACATTACCTTATTTAAAATACAAATTACTTCAGTGATCTGCTTACATCTATATTTTGTGTGTGTGTGTGTAAAGGTTTGCACTGAAAAGCAGTGCTAGATCACAGAATAACTCTGCATCTACTGTGAAGTGGACATATATAGCTCTGTAGACATTTAATTTTACAATTAATTAGGATTTATCAGGGTAATGTAGACCATGACTGAAAAATCGTTAAATCCAACAATACAACTCCAGCAAATACAAAACACCACTTTTTTTACCTGAAGTTTTTAAACACCACCACCACTAAATAACACAAAAACCAAACAACACAAAAGATTACAGTAAATTTCTTTCAAATTGAAAGGAATACAATAAACCAACACAGATTGTTCTTTCATACTGAGATACAAAACATGGATCCCAATATTTCCTATTTCTCAGGAGATTGCTTACAATTTAATGAATTAAGTTAATTACAAAAACTGAGGTTTAGTAAAGTTACTTTCTTTCTTTAAATATACTTATAAATATCCTTAAAGGCTTAATGCTACCAATATACCTCTTAAAATTCTCTGCTTCCTCTCAGGTTTGTTTTTCTGGTTTTTGTTTGGTTTTGTTTTTTTTTTATGAAATTGCTAATGAAAACTGTATCAGGTTTGACTGAGGGCAAGTATATCCATCTACCAGCATCCATTAGAGTATCTAACTGCATGTCTTTCACCTGAACGAAATCAATACCATTTGATTGAGAAATGAGATAAAAACCAGCCTTTCCCCAAAATTTTCAGTGCCCTCCTGTTGGCTGTAGGTGACCAACAGGTTGTGTATATGTAATGTTAGGTATAATCACAGTTGCTCAAATCAGATTTGCTTTTCAAAGGATTATGAGAAAAACCTTGCTTGACTTATTGACATGAACAGTTTGCTTCTGCCTTACCAGTTGATTGCACGGGTGGAAATTGGATGTGACAAACTATTTAACAGCATTCCAGTACCTGTGTGTTGTGAAAATGGATGACATATAAATAAAGACAAAGATTAATTTAAAACCTGTGATAATTTTTAGTGTTCTTTGAGCGGCATCCCGGGTTTAATCTGTCACTTCTGTGAACTAAGCCAAATCAAATCATTTTAAGGGAATGAAAGGAGTATGTGAACAAAGTGTCAGGTACATGTTGAAAATAAATTTTACCCCAAAGCAGCCCATGTGATTTCCATTGTTATTGATAAGCACTCTAAGGAACACCCAGAACTACACCCTGGAATATTTACGGCTGGCAGACTCTTTGATTTAAATAACATACTTTTGCATGACCTGCCATCACTCCCCAGGATGAAGCCAGTCCTGCAGCGACAAGTCCGTGCTTTGTAGCTGCTGCTGAGCAGACAGATGTGTGAACATCCCCCCGGCATTCCATATGGGTCCACTTCACATGCGTGGCTTTTGACTATGGCGAGGGAAAACCAGCATTATTCACATCCATTTAAAGCAAGATAATTATATGCATCAGCATGTAGAAAGTTTAGAAAGAAAGAAAAAGGGAATTTGTGTCACAATACATCTTTCCCCAGAATATAACTACAAAGGAAGGTGTTTTTTTAAGATGGTACCCAAGTCAGACAAGTATTCCCCAGGGCCATCTCGTGGCTATCTAACCAGACCCAATGTTGTGTGTTATCACCCCTCCCTGAATAAGCTACTGCACAGCATTTTTTGGGCAGAGCTTCCCTGGGGGAGCTGACATTTCTCCCCTTTTTTATGTGTTGCTTTGCTTCATTTGGTTGGTTAGGGTTTTTTGAGGACAGAATGCACACCATGCCAACACAGTTTGCTATTCATTCAGCTCCATTAAACAGCACTTTTCTGGGGCAATTATCTGGCCAATACTAAAGAACAGAACAAGCCTTGTAGTGTTTCCCCATATATACAGAATCACAGAATTGCTTGGTTTGGAAGGGACCTTAAACACCATCTCATTCCAACCCCCTGTCAAGGGCAGGGACATGTTTCACTAGGTCAGGTTGCTAAGAGCCCCATCCAACCCGGCCTTGAACACTTCCAGGGATGAGGTGCAGATGTGCACACTTGGGACACAAATCCAGCTGAAGAAGCCAAATAATTTCTTTCTCTTGATTTCATATTTTCAAATGCATGGTTCTAAATTAGCAGACTAATATATCAAAATTAATTTTTAAAAACTCTTTAAGGCAAATCTGACAAGAAAACAAAATCTACCTTGCTATCCTACTAAGCTGGCCTAAAACAGGCCAAGACTATTTTATCTCAATTTTTTTTTTCTGTTCTTTCTCCTTTCCCTCAAGCTTTTGAATTGTTTCTTTAAAAGAAGTAATCGAGTGATTTAAGGTCGATATGGTTAAAGGTAGACAGAAACTCCACCAAGCTGAGACAGCCTTTACAGCGAATCTTGACAAGCAACAAACATGTCCATTCAAAACAAAAGAAGTAGCAGAGTGAACGAAGGGCAAGAGGAGCTGAGTAATCACAGGATGTAATAAAAGATTACACTGTGCTCACATCTCTCCTCTACTCAACCTCTCTGACTCCCTCAGGAGCACAAGAGATGGGCCTACAGCAAGGAAAGCATCTTTGCAGCCTCCTTCAGACACTGACATCTGCAAATCAATGCCCTCAGCAATAGGGTAAAAATTAGTTCACCCACTCTAAAGCAATTTAGAGTTTGTTCCCACTTCAAAAACTTCTCTAAAAGCAGACATTCTGTTTAGTAACATCGATGTTGAGCACCAGAATTGATGTGTTGGCTTTTCTGTCTAAGCAGCCATGGCAACAATTTATTGCTATCAGTCACATCAAAAAAATTCTCATAAAGCATCGCTGTAAACAGCTTGGATCTTGCTATCTCTGCACAAAGTTCCCCCAAATCACACTGTTGTTTTGCTTGCAGAACAGAGCCATGATTACAGTCATACAGGACTGTGGCCCTCAAAAATTGTTCCTTTACCAAAAATTCTGAGATTATAAAAAGGTTTTCATTCTAGATGAAACTGAAGATTTCTTTCACAGATGGAAAAGTTGATATTTATCCAAACCAAGGAAACCTTGACAGCATTTTCCTGGGCTGGATGTCAGGCAGTCTAATTGAGCAAATCTCCATGCTTTTTTGTCAACCCCAAAGACAGGAGCTCACTGGAGGTTTGTAGTCTGTCTGAAAAGGAGGCCCAGATTTACCAAGAATCTCTTAGATCTGAGACCCAAGTCTGTGGACAGCTTTGGATATCTAACAATTCTGAAGGTGTTCAATTCTTGAGGTGTTGTGAGTGTGGAGCCGCACAACATGCAAACCATGGCTCTCTGGCAGTTCTCCGTGTTGAGAGACAGGCAAACTGGCAGCAAGCACATAAAAAACTGGGCAGATGAAGAAGTAACAGAGTTTTGCCACAGTGACAAATTTTCACTCTATCTTTTGATACATTTTTCTGGGAGAACTTCAACCACACAACCCCTTAATATCTGGTCTTATGTTGTTCTAGAAAGAGTAATTTTGAGCTTACCTGCAGTTTGAGTTCTTTTCTGGTACACACGGATCTCTTTAGTGTTGTCAACTCTAGCAAGAGCCTGAACATCACTGCCATTGTATCTGTTTATTCGTAAAATGCTGAGGTTATCTGAATTAACTGTATATAAATAGTTTTCAAATACTGCCAAACCACACAAATGCCTAATCTGGAAAAGAAAAAAAACCAGTTTCATTATTGTAGCTCAGTATTTTAGGCATATCTAAGATTATTAAACATCAAAGATTACTGTGGATTGCACAGGATAAATTGTACAAAAGGTTTTCTGAATATGTCAGCAAATATTTGTAGATTATAAACACAAACTACACTACAAGTACAATTCACATTCATGTAGACTGAAGTTTGTAATTAGAAAATCTTTGTACAAGATAGGCAGAAATTTCAAATTATTTAGCAATCCCAAATAATTTACTCTTACAATTCCCCAGTTTCTGTCTTCTAAATTAAAAACTCCTGCATCTTTTAAGTTCAACAGCTTCTTTTAGTATGGACTAATGTTCATTAACTAACTAAGGGAAATTAACTACTATTAACTAGCATTAACTAATAAATATTATAAAGTTAGATATTTTTAAAACACAGCTTATAGGCGTAATTGATCCATTTTTGAAATTATAAACAAATCAAGGCAAATAATTCAAGATACACCTGCTGAATATTTTCTTAAGTGAATACATAAGGATTTAACAAATTCCCTCAGCTATTTTTTTTGTTCCTTTTGTGTTGGTATCTTTGAATAAGCTTTTTTCTCAAAAAGTGAATTCTAAAATTGTATTTATCTGTGATGTGTCTGGGAACATTGATTAAAAATTACCTAATATTAGTTAGTTAGACAATCACAGCTCAGACATGAGTTGTTCAATAATCTAGAGGTTGTGCTTGATTTATAGATTTAGAAAAAGTAAAATGTCTCACTGGCAATTTTGAAAGCCGAACAAATTAAAGAGAATTTGTTGGCAGATGTTCAGATATTCATAGGCTGAATATATTATTAATAAATAAATTGCTCACCATAAAGTATTTACTTAGCTCATTCGCTCACAAATTCAGAGATACATCATCAAAAAACAACCCAAATCCCCCCTCCCCATCGTGCAGCAAGTATTTCAATCCATTCTAGAGATTACCACTCCAGTTGGTCAAATCTTGCAATTGTTTTCTGTCCTTACCCAGAAAAAGAAATAATAACTGAGGTCAATGAAAGTGTTTGATTAAGATCCAACAGAAATTCAACCCAATTATAGTCAGATGGAAAACAGCCTTGAAAATAACAACACAAATGTACCAAATTGTAGAATTCTCCTCTGAATTATAATCCTTTCTTCCCTATTTCCATTTGTACTCAGTTTAAGTCTTTCTAATTTAACTCCCATGGGAGTTTCTATATATTAACACTATTAAAACTATGTGACTCTTTTTCCAATGCATTTTATAATGACCTAATCATTTGTATTTGATTTATGCATTTGTTGCTTTTTACATCTCAGGAAGCTTTTCAGATATCTCCTGCATGAGTAGAAATGTTGCTTGCTACAAAGAATCAGCCTTTGAAAGCCACCCAGGTTATCAATAATAGAAGCCAGTATCAGTTGGAAAGCACATCTTTTGGTGTACAATTGCTTGTACTTGTGCAATAACTTTATTCCCTAAAATTTCTTGCAAGTAGTTTTCTCGTCTGTTGTTTCCTTGGACTAATGAGGAGTAACTTGAAAAAAGAGTCATTCTAAATCATGTATAAGCAGTACAAAATCTCATGAAATCTCCAATGTTTCATTGGAATAGAAAGTCAACCCATACCTTCTGTGACAGCAGTGACCAACTGAGAGGTCAAGCTTTTTAACACCAGCCTTACTAAAAGACACAGATCTCATTCTCCTTTCTTAGCTACCTTAGAGGAGAAACAATCCCTCTGAACTTAATAAAGTGTCCTTATTTGAAAAAAAAACACCTGTTATTCCAGAACTGTCTAAGGACTGGGAGTAAGTTGGTAAAAAGTAAGAAAGTGTTTGGTGTTTAGTCAGGTGACCTAGACTGCTTTTTGTCTCATTTTCTGCCTGTTTTTAGAGGACAGCTATTCTAATCAGTTGTCTCTTGGCAAACAGTGATTACTTGGAAGCAAAGAATGACAGCAGAAAAGGCAAAGTGTTTATTCTGTTTACATGTTTTTACATACCCTGATTAACCTCAGGAAGAAGAAGATGTAAACATGATGCCCACTCCAGCTCTGGGAGTCCAAACAGGAACTAGAACAGTTTGGTCTTTGTTAATTTTCCCTGGATTTACATAAATCTCACAACTGCCAGGGAATTCTTCCTTTCTTTGTGACCTTGCTTGCTACCCCACTCCAAACTGAAATACTCCTGTTCAAAAACTCATACAGTCTCAGCAATTGTGTATATGACTCTGAACATCTGGATCAGCTGGAAAAAAACACCATTGCCATCAACAAAATAAGATTTAAGGGCATTCAGATTAGTCTGAATGGGTGAGCGGCTTTTGCTATTCTATTTCTTTTATGTTATTGTGCCTGTTAATCTCCTTCCTGAAGAGGTAAGGACATCTTGTCATTAATGATTTATTTCCCAGCACCTTTCCATCACCCCATATTTTCCCTCCTGAAGTCTTTTACAATGGCAAGTGTGACCTATATTGTGCATTGTTAATGAGACACTGCATGGAAGCAAGTCCACAGGTTGCAAAATGGGCTACAGTGCAAATAAAACAAAATATGCAGATGGATCTTTTGACACCTAACACATCTGAACTAAAGGGAAAAAAAATCTGAAATTCCTGTAGCTGTTAGCATTACATATGTTTATTTATTGATATTGTTACTTTTACTAATTTGCAAATAAATACCTACTTGTCTGCCTTTAATTATTGTGTGCCTCCTTCTCCCTTGATAGTCAACAACTTCCACGCTATCCAGATATATGTCAACCCAGTACACATATTTATTGATGAGGTCTAGTGCAAGAGCAGTAGGCTGTTCAATTTTAGAGTCTACTATCCACGTCCTGTTCATTCCATCCATGTCACATCTCTCCACCTTGGCAGCATTCCCGTAGTCTGTAAAGAAAAGCTTTCTGTTGAAAGAAAATAAGACGTTGTAAGTTTTAAAGGGTGTGAGCAGAGTGCAAAGCTCCTCGTGGCTCTGGAAAAAGAAAGTTTTTCTTCTTTGTCATTTCAATGTCCCATATACCCCATATTGATAATCATAAAATTACTAAATAAATTCACCGTGTCTTCCAACAAATTCATAATTACACAGAATTACCTTTCAAATGGAATGTGCAGAAGTTCTAAAGGCATTTTCTTACACCACAGATACACCATGTAATACTTTCAATTACAATCTGAAATTGTAAATTTGTAAAAAATGTATTTGTAAAAAATGGCAGGAAAGTTACAAATAACAGAGTGACAAAACCACAAAGCACTCACATGATTTGGAAAACAATTCATTGCATATGAGGTATAACAAGTACAGTGATCCACACTCTCAGGTTTTTGAAAACGTATTTCTAAAGGAGATGCTTTAGTCTGTGGTGCATTTGTATCCAGCCTTGGAATGGTGTTCAGGCTTTAAAATGTTTCCACAAATCCAGTGAGTCATTCCATGCAAGAAGAATGGGAAACTATCAAAGACTTAAAATTGCTACTAAAGCTTCCTAAACCGATACTTGATTAGCATTCACTGGGTTTAGTACACGCAAATCAATTTTGATTAACCTGACAATATTTTAACAAGATTACCTATTTGTGAGAACAAATTACACTTGCAAGCTGAGGACCACCTTGCCATGACTTTAACATGCTATAAAGAATAATCTGATTCCAGGCTGAATGTCACTAAAACTACTTCAAGAATCAGGATTTCATTTTCTGAATGAAGTGAATTATCTCCCAGTTATTAACACTAATGGGAATAACATTGGATCAACTGCATATAAACCTTGAGATATCTTTATGGTAAAGAGCATTAATTTATAGCCTTATAACCTCTCATAAAAATTCAGCATTGTAACATGTTTTAGGCTGGAAAGAATACCTTTGCTAAACAGCCAAATGAAACCCACATCCTTTATTTTTGTAATCTTAAAATAAGTAAGAATACATTTTATATGCAACTAAAATATTTCAAGTGCAAAATCTGTGAATTAAAAAAACCTATTAAAAATATTAAAGGCAGGGAATCATCTGTAGTCTATGTACAGCAGCTGTCAAATGCCAAAATGAATTGATCTCAGAATCATAAAATAGGGCCGGAGGAGAATCTGAAAGGTCATGCAGTCCATCACCAGGCCATAAGGCAGAATAAATTTTACCTATAAGATGCCTGAGGGATAACTCCATTCCTGACAGGGGTTTCTATTTATCAAAATAATTCCAAATTCCTGTCTTGTCCTTCATTGTCATTCTGCATCCCAGCTGTACTTTAAGAATACTTTTAAAAACACACACTTAACATTCAGGTCTATATAAATCAAAATGTGCATAGTATAGAATATGTGCAAAGTAAAAATCATTCCTGCAAAGTAAATGTTTAATTTGGAATGAAAATAGCCAAAAAACCTGTGTGTATACAGAAGCATACACACTTATTTATGTATATATGCATTTCATCAGCAGGGACAAGGCCAACACCAAATACATTGAAAATAAGTTGCTAAAATATTGGATGTACTCTAGTCTACAATCTGTGCTTCTGGGGATTTAATTTAGGTTATTTAATGTAACTTTGCATCTCAAGGTTCAATAATTCAAATAAAGCTTATTTTGCAGTCATAGAACCAAATGGGTTTGCTCTGATCAGGCACAGACACAGACACAGACACAGACACAGACACGGATATACAAATACACACACACATGGACATACAAATACACATCCATAAACACAGCAGTTACAAAGGCCTGAGGTTTGACTTGAGACTGACTCATTGCTTAGTGCTCAGAGTTTCTTATTAAAGATTTAACATTTCTACAGACTAAAATACACATTAGAATTAACAATCATCTGCCTTTTACAACAAGATTATCTTTTCAGATAAAATGCTTGTATGTCAATAACAAATAGATCCAGTTAAGAATATCTAATTTAAGAGACTCCTCCACCTTTCTGGGATGGGGACCATGTCTTTGTTTTCTAAATATCTGTTTTATATTAGCATCATTTGTGCTTAGGAAGTAGCATGACTTCATGTGTGAATGACATTCCTTTTATTCTAAAAATCGTTACTCTTCTCCTGGAGTGACAACAATAAAACTTTTTAATTAAACAAAGAGGTAAAAGACAGAACAAGAAAGCAGTTGCCTCTCCGCTGTTGTACGATCAAAGAGTTCTGAAAATTAAATTAAGAAAATTAAAAGCTTTACTGTGTAATCTTGAAAAGTAATTCTGTGTTTAAAGACTAATGCAGATTTTTAGAATGAGGTTTAAATCAGAAATGCATTTCTAACACATGAAGAGGACCCACAATTACACTGTATTTCCTTTGCCTCAGGAGCTCTCAAGGATGCACTGTACCAGTATTTATGTCAGCTCAAGGCTAATTTTTCTGTTCACAATTGATGCTGGATTTTCCTCTCCATTTTCAGCAGAGGGCAATGAAATCTTTTATCCATTCACAGAGGAATTTCAGCAGGAACTGACCATGTGCATGTCCCTGTACAGCCCAAGTACCATGCACTAATATTGACCTTGAGGGATGGGCTTTGACAGGGTCAGGGAGAGCTGTGTTCATTACACCCTTAATTTTCTGATACTGCCAGTGAGGATGCTAATTGAGGCTGCTATAACAGTAAAAACTTTGGCAATAAATTGAATTTTATTAAGGTATGTTATCTTTTGAAAGTTATAGGCTCTGTCATGCGTGGAAATTCTGAATATTCTCCAAGCTCTTTGACACTGCACAGACCCCATATTCTGCCTGGAGTTAATCAACATCTTTTTCATCAAGTCCTGATGCTTTGCAGGCATCTTATGCTACTCCTTTTTCAAACTTTTTAAATTCATAAAAGCATTTAGCTGTTTGGACTCTTCCAGAATGGTTTCATTGTTGTTCCAACAGTTAGGAATCTAAATTTATTAACTAATGATGATACCTTCTAGGCTAAATTACACCTATTGGTTTCTGCAGCACACTTATTTGGCTTAAACAGTTACTTTCACCTGTCTTCCCCTCCAGAGATATTTCTAGATGGCAATCAAATTCTTTCACTCTCTACCTTGCAGCTGGAGATAAGCAAGGAAAGGCAATCTTTCTCATCTCGTAAGATGTTCTCTTTACGTTGCCCTTCTGTGCAGTTATCCCAATTTTAGGTCAATTATTGAACAAGAGTGGTCAGTACTGGGTGCACTGTTCCAGATCTGACTTCACCCGTGTCTGCACAATGGAATAGCAACTTCCCTGCCTCAGCTGGAGATTCAGCCATCACTGGATGATATTTGCTATTTTCACAGCTCTATTACACTGCTGATTTATCCTCTCACCAGCTATTACACACACCCTCCTCCTTCTGCTGATTTCCCAGGGTCCAGTTGACTTTCTTCAGTCTGTGAAATACAACCTATTTCATAACTTAACAACTCAGTCATAAAAAGTCATGGATGGAGGTTTTCCAAAAATTTTGGTTTCAACTAGGAATATGCAGAGACTATTCCCTCCACGTCTGAGCAATGACAATTCTCTAACCCTCACCTTGAGGATATTTTCCCCTGGCAAACCCACACTATATTAGGGGAGTTAGAAACCAGAAGGCTCTCCAGCAACGTGCATTAATTTTTTGTAACTGAAATTGGAAGGAAACATTGGGTGGATGTTTTTGTGCTCCATAGGAGTGAACTTCTATTAAAGCTCCGCCGTGACATCTGCAAAGTAAGGCAGGACATATGATGTTCCAAATGTTCCTGGTATTTTGGAAATCTAGTAGTGAGTAAAATAATAATGGTTTCTTCTCATAGAGAGTTGCAGATGTAGTGCCACGCAGGAAGCAGCAGAGGGTTGAGATGCAGACAGAAGTAAAACCCAGTCAGACAAGTCGCTCTCACCACACAGAGCCAAGCTCCACTCACTGCTTGTGGCACAACAGGTACAATCAGCAAAAGCTCAACCCCAAGTGCCTTAGGGGGGACATTTGTACTGAAATACCCTTCTCTTTACAGGGAAATCACCAGTTCAAACAAAGGTTTTCTTATTTGCAGCAAAGGGGATGGCAGTGTGAGCAGAAAATGGGGAAAGTAGCCGTGAATTTGAGGATGGATTGTAAAAAGAGCCAATCTGGTTCACTGCTAAAATAGCTACAAGTTGTTATAATGTTGTTTTTCCTCCAAAAACTGTCCATCTATAGAAGTATGCCTGGTATATAAGGCTAAATCGGTTTCCCATCAATAGGACCCCCACAATACAATTTCCTTACAGACACAGTAATATGAATTTTCAGAGATGTTATAAAGTGACTGTAATTTGATAATTCAGGACTGTGATTTATTACAGTGTTATGACTACACCCTGTTGTTTTTTACTTTCAAAAAAAAAAAAAAACAAAACCCCTGCCTATTATTTTTCAAGTTTGATTCTTTCCACTATTGAGGGAATAAAAGCCTTCACTTTCTTTTGTCTTAGAGATGTCAATCAAATATACATAAAGTTTTAAATTTCACAGTAATCTTAAAAGATTTTGTCTCCTCCCTTTTCCACCCACAAATGCTTTCTCTGCAGGGAGAGAACTGCTGATGCCTCCCCAGTGCACCCATCTACCACCTCTGGATGCTGCAGAAATAATGTAGGATGGTAAGATATATGGCAATTTTCTTACATGAGCTGTACTTCTTCATGAGTAAACATTTGGTAAACCGATATCAACCCTACCACATTCTCTTTCTTGCTCCTCTTATAAATAGGTGTGACTGTCTGGACATGCTGAAAAAATGCACACCTGGAATATAACAACAATAAATCAAACACACAGAGAAATGAAAATTCAATTCATAGGTTTTGCTGGAGGACAGAAATGTAAAAAAAAATTTGTCTTACACTTGTTCTCATCTCATCACAATATTGCCTGTGTTTTTCTCTCATCA